GTCTTCTTAGTTGAAGAGAGAGAGTAGTGTTTACAGAGAAAGAATGAAATAGTTCCAGTTCTCAAGAAGTTTACATTCTACTGAGGAGATAACAATATGTAATAATTGGATCTTGTCCTAATCTCTTTACAGATTGATTTTCTCAACTGCTTTCCACTATTTTGGGAGTAATTACTCAAAGTCTTTGTCTCCCTTCTCTAAGTTAAACAAATGAACTTGGACCCTAAACAAGTATTGCTCTACACTTGCAAATAAATTAAGTGTGCTGGGAGCAATTTCTGGCCTCATTTTACATCAGTTAGATTTCATTAAGGAATGGTGATTGTCAATGTCTTTACTTTTGTCCAATTCTTATTTTTCAGGATCAACAGGTTGTTTAAACATGTTGGATTGAGACTACTCTAATTGTCCAGACTTTTTTCATTTTTACTTTCTATTCTGCCATTTACTTTTTTTTTGTATGTGCGTGTGCTAGGTATTTGACACTCTGTCCACACATACACTGACAGCAGATTTTGGTACCACTAGTTTGCAACAACCAGTCATTTCCTGTTTGGTAAGATAGTCTTTTATTTTCTCTCTCTCTCTCTCTCTCTCTCTTCTCTCTCTCTCTCTCTCTCTCTCTCTCGTTATTATATCTTTGGTGTTTACTCTGCCTAGCACCTTCTAACTCTCTTCAAAGAAATTATTCATGATGTGCAGAGTGAGGCTTCTGAGTAGTACACACATTTTTCTCCACATTCATTTCTTGATTCAGAACCGTATTTTCTAACATGACTCATTCTCTTTACTTTCATAACAAAGTCACCAAGTGTTAAGATGTGTGTTCACTTACTTTGTATGACTTGGCTGTCAAGTTCTATCATTTCTCTATTCTTTTTCTTGTATAAGAAATTTGGACATATGACCTTCATTACTCCTGAGACCTTGATCTCATCAACTCTCAACCTGAATTACTTCGATGTCCTGCTTGGTATCTCTGCCTAACATCTCCCTCCTCTCTCTAATTCACTGTCTACACAGCAGCCAAATTGAGAGGCCTCATGAACGAGTCTGGTGATGCCACTCATCTCACCCAGAAGCTATAAGGGGGCTCCTTACTGCCTCCAGGATAAAACGTGAACTGCTGTTGGCATTTAAAATCTTCCCCACCTAGCATCGGATTCCAATCCTGGCTGTAACACCATTGCCTCTCTCCTATCTCAGCCTCTGCACAGGCTGTCCGTTCCGCTTTGCCTGGAATGCCCGCCTCCCTCACTTCTACCAGCTCATGTGAGCTTTTACGGGAGGCCTACGCTGGTCCCCTGGTTCAAGAGAGCATAGAGTTAGGGCTGGAAGGGACCTTTGGGGCCATTGACTCCAAATCCCTCATTTTATAGGTGAGGAAGCAGAGGCCCTGAGGAGTTACGTGAATGACAGCGAGGTGCTGCCATAGTGCATGGAGTGCCAGGCCTGAAGTCAGGAAGATTCATCTTCCTGAGTTCAAATCTGCCCTCCGATGCTTACTAGCTGTATGACCTTGGGCAAGTCACTTAATCCTGTTTGTCTCAGTTTCCTCATCTGCAAAATGAGCTGGAGAAGGAAATGGCAAACCACTCCAGTATCTTTGCCAAGAAAACCCCAAAAAAGAGTTGGACAAGAATGAAAACGACTGAACAACACGTGGCTGAGTGTCTGAGGCAGGATTGAAATGTGGGTCTTCCTGACTCCAAATCTAGCCTTCTTATCCATTAGTTCACCCAGCTGCAGTCCGCACTCCTCAAATTAATTTGTATTTGCTTTATGTGTATTTTTATTTATTTATGGGCATGTCACATCCTCCCCCCCCTTCCCCATATAACTTATGCTTTTTGTGGGGAAGGGTTTTTTATTCTTTGCATCCCTAGCACTGGTCACATCGCAGGACACACAGTAGGTGCTCAATGAATTGAAGGTTGGCTGAATGTCAAATGATTATATGGTGTTTTGTTTGTTTTTGCACAGTCTGAGCACTGTGAAGATAAGATGATTCAAATGTTACATTAAATGATGTTTCTTGTTGCCTCTGCACAGGAAATCAACTCCCATCATTTGCTTCTCCGAGAAGAAGCTGTGAACCCTGGCTACACTTAGATTTAATGCCCTCTTATTTTATCAATAGCTAGAGTATTAACATCCCGTTCTCCAATAATGTGTCAGCTTGTGTCACTGGGCAAAGATGGAGCTTAAAATATCAATAGTTAAATTTATGTTGGTTGACTGTCCAAGAACTGTGTGATTTCTAGCACCTTCTGTCCCTTCCCCACAGATCTTCTGTGTCATTGAGCAGTTTCTGGAAGGGAGTTCCACAGGACCCCCAGCCATTTTCTATGGGTCACTGAAGCAAAAAATAAACAAACAAAAACCAAAAACCCCTGCCCAATCCAAAAACAAACCACTTAGTGGTCTTGTTTTTCTGTGAAGATGTTCACTATCCTTCATTAGACTGGTCCTCCAAGGACTGACATCACCAAGACTGCATTCAAAGCCTTTCCTGGTTGGTAGAATGGGCCAGGACTTGTACTGCACTGGCCAAACCTGGAGAAACCTCCGGTCTCTTCCATACACAATGAGGCATTTGGGTGGAGGGCACCAGTACCCCAATCCAGTAATACCTTACTGAGGAGGAGGCAGACAAGACAAAAGAAAGCAAAATGAAGCTTCGGGAGTGGCCAAACCCGAGCCTGGAGCAGGGGTGGGGCAATGTGAGAGAAGAGACACGTCAGGCCAGGCCGGTACTAATTTGTAGATAAGAATCCTTGGAAATTAGCACATTTGTAGTTTCTATGCAAATATCGCTCAAAGTGCTTTTGGACGGTTTGTCCAGTAAGTAGGTTAAATATTTGCCCTGCAATGTAATGCAATGCAACACTGCTAAGGTTTAGCAGCTAAGACCTTCTTCTGGGATTGGCCAAAGGCAAACTTCAGCCATAGCAGGTCAAATCTGACCGAACGCTGAAGCTGTTGCTTCCCCCTTCCGCAGCGTTGTGGCTGGGGAGCAGGGGCTTGTGCTGCTGAAGTCTTAAAACAATTTACTAATGGGTCTTGGGATGGTGATAGGGTCTGGTGTGTAGCTGCTGGCCACGAGGTCATCACCTCCCCCATGGTCACAGTGAAAGAATGTGGAGAGGGAAAACCTATTACAAATGTGGGTCTGAGGCTGTGATTTGCACCAAGGACCCTTTCCTGACAGCCCGCGGGTGCTCCCCAACCCCCCACCTTAGGCACACTCACTGCTGCTTGAGTACTGTAACTAACCTGGCTAACGCCAGCGTTCAAGGCAACGTACACCTAGTTACAGGTGCATAGAAAATCCCGGATCCCATTCCCTTAAGAACTAAGATGTTCTCGCCCTTATCCACACTCCCGAAGCCGTGCACCCGACAGGCAGGACACTTATTCCCAAAGGCACAGCTCATAGCAGCTCCCACGTGGTCACACTTGAGCACTTTGAGCCTCGGCGGGTCTAGAGTGCAGGCTCCCCACCCACCCCACCCTCGTATTTAGAGACCCCAGTACTCACGGACACATTGCAGGCCTTTGCGAATGACGCCCCAGATAAAGTCCCCACAGAGGTCGCACCAAGTGTGGGTACCAGGCCCTGACGGGCGGAAGCAGTGGCCCCGGCCCGGTCCGGCCGTGAGTCGGGGATCGCTGTGGCCGCCCAGCAGACGGACTTGACGGCCGCGGAGCAGCACGTCTGGGCCGCGGCCCGGGGCGATGCGCAGCGCATTGGCGCGCTCCAGCCGGCCCGGACTCCGAGGGCCCGAGCTCCGGCCAATCTCCTGCCCCCGTAGGCCGTCGGGGGACCGGACCAAGTTCCGCAGCTCGATCAGCTCCGGCTCTGCAGACATCACACTCTCCAGGAGTCCCGGGACTCCGCTGTGGCTGGGCAAGGAGCAGCGAAGCCCCTTTCTGGCCGGGCAGGGAGTAGTCCTGCCTGTTTTGGTCACTTCTCTCAGTGCTCTTTAGCTGGGACAGTTACTGCTTCGTTCTCCACTTCCGTCCCATCCCCCCATTCTCCCCCCTCCCCCCAGTCTAAGTTCAGCCTCTCTCTGCCTTTTTTTTTAGTTCTCTGTCCATCTTGATCTTTGCCTCTCGGACTCAGTGGACCGCTCAGCACCCTGGCTCTCGGACCCTCTCGCTGCCAGGGGTTCCCTCGCCTTGGCTCTGCCCCCTCCTGGGATGGATAGCAGAGGTTTTTGCCGCCTCCTCCTCCTCCTCCCGTCTATGGGTCCCAGTGGACTCAGAGCAGCAGCAGGAGCACGATAAGGGCGGAGCCGGCCCTTCCAATTCCTAGCGGCTTCGGAGGCTGGAGTACGCTCCCCCGCACCCCCGTCCCCGGCCCCCACTTCGAAGGCTCGGGCAGTGTTTGACAACCGGCCCCGCCCCAACCCAGGGGCCCTGCCTCGGTTTGCTAAGATCTCCGGAGCCAAAGCCACGCAATGGAAACTAGAGTCAGGGAGGGGGCTGGCAGAACTCAGCCTTTGACTCGGGGCGGGAAACGAGCTCAGGGAGGGAACAACTGGAGGGAAGGGGATCCGAGCAAACCAGACCAGAAATGTGCAAGTTGGGATGAAGGAGCCACAGGGGTCCACCTTATCCTCTACAGGGAAAGGAAAGAGGGAGGGGGCAATGGGCTGAGAACGTTTGCGGCGTCTCTCCTCCCCCAACAAGGGGAAGGAAGTTGGACCTTAGAAGCACGAGTGCCAAATGGGGCAGTGCTCCATGCTGTCCTTAGCCTGAAAGGGGGTGCAGAGGGAGGCCCCTATGAGCAAAAGCCCAGCTGACCCTGTCTCCCAGAGCAGCGTCCTGCCTGCCGCGACTTCTGTTGCTTTTCCCCTCCTTCCCTTTCTCTTGGAGGCCCCACAGGAAGCAGCCTCAGCCCTCTTCCAAAGCCATCCCCATCCCATCACTAGGCAGGCCTTAGAAGAGAGGGGCCAAGTTAGGGCGGTTTAGCGCTGCAAGCAGACAGAAACTTCTTTCTCAAAAGAAAGCTTTACTGTACTTTAGAGAGAGGAAGAAGGTACCCCACATCCGCACTATCCTGCCACAGACTCTCAGAAAGCAGAGGGAAGTCTCAGCAACGCAATCTTACACCCTCCTTTCTCTAGGTCCCTGTGAGGACTCACCCTCCCTAGAATTCCCCCTCCTCCTTCCCCGGGGCAAGAAGGAAGAGGGAGGGATCTCTGGAAGTACCCAGCCCCAACTCCCAAGAACCCTCCTTGGTTCTAGACTCATGTAGTCTGTCCTGAGAGCTGAGGCACAAGTTGGGAGCTGCAGGACTAGGCAAGAAATAGAGTAACCAGGGGTTCAGACCAGGAAGGGCAGAGAGCAAGCAGTGGCCTCTGCCTGACGTGGGAGCCTATGGACCAGTCTGGCCTGGGGTGCTAGGGTGTGTGTGTGTGGTGGGGCACATAGCTAGAATAGTGGGGCACTCTGGGGCCTTGGATGAGTGGGGGCTTGGCATGATGGGATACCATGAGGGTAAACAAGCAGCAGCTACTACTAGGCTTTGACCTCCTCCTTCACATTGTCCATCGACTTGGCCAGTAAGTCACAAGATTTTCGGTGCTTCTGCCAGTGTTTTACCTGGCATTCCCTGTTCAAGAGGAAGAGAAGCAGCTGAGGCTCAATAAGGTTCTGCTTAGCCGTTATCCTAAGAAAGGAATGGGTCCGTGGGCCCTGGGGACCTAACCCTTTTGCCTTGATCCTAGGGCGAATGCTACCCCTGGGCTAATGAGATTTGGTCTCTGAATGGGAGCTCCTGGAGGCACCAGACCCCAAAAGCCCAGGCTACTCCAGAGCTCTTGGATCATGTTTGGGGAGGTTCTACTTCCTGGGAGAGCGAAGGGAAGAAGGCGGGTTGAGGTTGTGGGCAAGCAGTTTTGGGCATAGTGGTGAACATACCGCTTACAGTACCACTCGTTCTGGCAGCGAGAGCATCTCTTGGAGGCCTCAGCATTGCAGGAGGCACACTTGGGCTTCTCAGGGTTCAGTGCCTCTATCACATCCAGCTTGTAGGTCTCTGCCCACCTGTAGAAGAACACAGGAAAAAGAGGGGCCTAGAGAAGTATGACCAGTATGACCATGGTATTTGGTCTAGGGGCTCTTTCAAGAGGTGTGGGGTTATATATTTTGAGGTGATATTCTATAATACTGCCAGGATCCTTTTGTATCTCTGTGTTTTTTTCTTGGTTGGGGGTCCAGGAGGGTGTCTTGAGGTAAGGACACTGGATCTGAAACTAGAGGACATGGTTAGATTTTGCTACTTGCTGCCTTTTTGACTGTGGACAAGTATCTTCCCTTCTCTGGCTCTCAGTTTCCCTTCTCTCAGTCCAAGTATAGAAACCTAGGGACTACATCAATGCTCTCTTTGATCCTTCCCAGCTCTAAATGCCATGGTCCTGTGATTAGTTAGGAATGCAGAAGTGGTGCACCTCCAGACCAGCCATGTTATTATGAGACTGCTTGATTGGCTGACAGGATCTGAGGGTTATAGAACAACCCAATGAGCTTGATCCCAGGAACCCAAGTGGGTGAATCCCAGATCATTGGTCTTGGGGACTTGCTCTGGGATGGAAGAAACCACTCTTGACTTTGGCCTATGAACTAGAGGGAATCTTGGGCCAAACCTGGCTAGGAAAACATTAGCTAGACAGATGTGCTTGGAAACTAAGTCACTGCCTAACCTGGAATTGAGTCAATTTGTTTTACATGAACATGTCTAATTATCCTGCCCTGGAATGTTCCTTTGAATGGATCATTTCCTTATAAAATATATCTTGGAAACTTTTCTTTTGGGCCATGCAGCCAATAAGGATAAGTAGAGAGGCAGCAGACCAGTTATGGTAGCAGGAGCAGCGGAGTGGCCAAAGGCTAGGAAAATCAGGGGAGCCTCAAGCTCAGGCTAAGGTTTAGAAAGCAGAGAAAAGTGACAGGCCTGGCCCAGGCTGAGGGCAATGGTCCCATCTTGACCAGCCTGACGAGGAAGGAGCTGGTGCTCTCAAGTTTTCAGGAATCAGGGACCCTTGAGACTCAGGACAAATCCCTCTTAAGGGTGGGCGGGTCTGGCGTTGCCCCCCTGCCTACCTTCTGGCCTGCAGACGCAGCTCCTGCTCAGAGGGGCTAAAGATGTGCTTCAGTTGGTATTTTGCAATGGCCTGCCACTTCCCCCCATTCTTCCTCTCTAGCCGGCTCCAGATTTCTGGGATCTGTGGGCAAAGGCCACAGAATGGGAGAAGGCCTCGACCAGCAAGTTGAGGAACCAAAGAATATGATAGAAGTTGAGTCATTCAAGGCCTCAGCATGCTTAGCTGTGCCAGTAAGAGAACCCAGGGGTCTGGCCTCATTAACAGTCCTCTAACCATTGGACCCCACTGTCCGACAGAGCACTGACTGGTCAGATTTGCTCTAGGCTGGGCTGGGCAGCCATCTGCCTTCTCCCTCTGTCGATACCTGCTCCATCACCAGGTCCTTCTTGGGAGGGAGGGGCTCGGTGAGTGCCAGGTGGCTCAGGAAGCGCTGTAGCTCCACCAGGTTGGGGATCTGGTCCAGCAGGATGTCAGTGAGCAAGGCCCGGAGCTGGGGGAACAGAGCCAAGGGAAGCTACCAGGAAGACCAGGAGCCCAGAAGGCCTCTGAAATGTTTCCTAATGCCCTGGGTTCTGTCCTCCAAGCCTCACCAGGGAAGGGAGAGAGACCTGAGCTGAGCAGTCACTGCTCTCAAACATGAGTACATGAAGCTAAAGAGCTGGTTTTTCTTTACACTTGGGGCAGTGATGCATCAGTGTGTGGAACAGAGTTCCAACTGGACCCTTGCCATGGAGGGGAGTGTGTGTGTGTGGGCAGTGGTGACGAAGGAAAGACAGTTTGATGTCCAAGGGTATATTGAGGTGGCTTTCTCAGGGAGGGAAGGGTTGGGGGGAAGGAGTTATTCTAGTGGGTGAAGTGTGACTTGGGGACCCAGGATCCTCTCAGACACCAGTGGGACAGGGCAGGGAGGAGGGAGGGAAGGTGCCCTGGGCTCAGGAGCCATGCCAGCCAACTGGACTGAATCAAACTTATCCGATACTAGACCCCTGTTCAGGGCCCTCCACCAAATCCAGCCACCTGGGGGACTTTGCTCCTTTACCTCCTTGGCCAGATTATAGAAAGGTTTTTGAAAACAGCCACTGCTCTCCGGCCCCACTAAGAGGGAGGAGAGTTGTGGCCACTTGGTGAGGGGCGGCAGCAGCAATGGCAGGGCTAGAGCAGAGAGACTAGGAGCAGGAGGGGGGCAATGGGGCACCTGTGAGGGCCGGATGCCCCCTGCCTGCTCCCCTCGCCCCATAACACTCTCTTAGCATGACTCACCTTAAGGAGCTGGTTCTTGTTGAAGCCGGTGAGGTTATACTTGGACTGGCATGGAGGGCTGAGCAGCAGGTTGTACAGGGCAATCCACACCTGACCATCTATCTTGGTCAGCCTTGGATAGTCCTTGGTGGTCACTATTTGCCACCGGCCCCCCTCAAACCTCTTCAGCTGGCCTGAGGAAAAAGCAAGGGAGAGGGTACGGGAGAGGTGTCAGAGGCCAGGGAACTGCTCTAAGCTCTGCCACTGACATGCTTTAGGATCTTGGACAAGGCTCTCAATTTCTTTGGGCCTTAACTTCTTGATATCTACAAGATGAAGGGCCAAGAACAGACTGCAGCCAAGTCCCCTCCAGTTTTGAGACCCTCTACACCCTGATTACAGGATGCACAGGGAGATGTGGGCTGAGCCCAGATCCTGCTGGGAAATGGCAGGGTTTGATTTTCAAACATACTTGTGGAATTCTGAGAGATTTTCATTTACTTTTGGCAACTCCCAGCTGTCTTCAATCACAGGAACACAACAAATGCTCGAGACAGTCACTGTTCCTGACCAGAGGCGTCACAGACACAGAGCCAGGATCTATAACAGTCTTCTGGGGCTCAGGCCACCTGCTGGCTCGGAGCTGAGCCCAGGGTGCTCTGTGCATCTTCCTTTTCTCTGGATGAGGGCCAGAAAGCTTCCTGAGGAAGGGGAACTTCCTGGGGAAGAAACTCACCTCCTTCCTGGCGATACCAGGGGCTGTTTTCCAGCAGCTCCACCAGGAGGCAAGGCAGGTTGTGGGTGCTCAGCATACGGGTCAGGGTGCTCAGAGACAGGCTGCAGAGGGCAGGCATTGTGGGAATCAGAGCTGAGCTGCCCCCTCGGCCCCTCTCCAGCCCCCAGGGACCTCTCCTGGGAGGAAAGCAGGGAAGGTGGCTCTGTATCAGCCACACCACTCACCTGTCCACACTGTCTGTGATGTAGCGCAGCACAGAAAGGGCCTTCAGAGAGATCTCTAACTCCATGGTTTGGGCCTGCTTCTGTAGCTCCTGGAAAGTATGGGGAGGGCATGGCGGGGACCATGGGAAAAACAGGTTTTCAGTAAGGGCAGGCCCCCTTTCTCTGGCCATGGAGTCTCATTCTGCTCAGCCTGGGCTAGAGAACATTGGCTCTTCAAAGGAGCCCACTGCCTTGCCTGGAAAGAGTCAGCTTTGGTGGGGAAGTGGGGCAGGGATGGGGTACCCAAGGTACCTGCAAAGGTGAAAGCTCAAACTCTCCTTCAGGCACTGAGAAGCCTCCAGAGCTGTTCTGGGCCACCAGGAGGGTCAGTTTTCGGTGACAATAGTCAATTAAGTCCAAAATGGAGTCCTCAGCTGAGTCACATATTTCCTGAGAAAGAAAGGAAAGATGAAGGGATGTGAGTGAGAGGCACATGGTGCTAGCCTCAGGGTCTGAATTCTCTCTCCCTTGGGAGGGGCTCTGGATCCTTTCCATCTTTAAAGACCTTCAAGTATACCAGACACACTGTGGTCCTTGCCCAAGAGCCCCCTGTCAGATGGGCACAGCCCATTATGCCATCCTGCCATCTCCCCTGACCTAACCTACAGTGTCTGTGCTCTTTTCACTTGGCCCAGCAGTCCCAGCCCAGGAAGCTGGGGTCAGGTAAGGAGCCAGCAAGCAGTCAGGAGGCCTGGGGCAAAGTCTGCACGGCCACAATGGGGACAGAGTGGGATATAGTCAAGTAAGTCTACTCAAAGTTAGGGGCTAGAACTGTGATTTCACTGGTATAGTGAATTCCTGGAGAAGGAAATTCCTTGTACCAGTCCAAGCTGGTAACTTCTCTGCCAACTTCTCTCTAAAACTGAAAGTTTTAAGGGCCTCCAGTAGAGGTGTGGATGCAGAGACCCTAACCCTTCCAGGGCATCCTTAACAAGATTAAAATAAAGAAATGTTTAACAAAATAAGTATTCAACAGAACAGAATGTTAACACGTGGTTTTCTGAGTCAATACGTGCCCCGCAGGGATCCCTTCTATTTGAGGCTGACACTACTGGCCTTGGGCACAGAGAGGTTAATCAACTTTCCCAGGGTCACACAGCCAGTATGTGTGCCAAAGGTGACACCTGAACTAGCAGGGATGAGCTCTGGCTCCAGTCCCAGCTTCCTTCTCTCATCCCTGGGGCATGCTAGCAAGAGCTGCAAGCTAGTCAAGGCTGACCAGTTAACCCAAGGCTACCATCATTTCATTCAACAAGCCTCCTCCCTGGGCTTTCCAGATCTGCTCCCATCTTATTCCCAGAGCCAAAAGCTCTTCAGTACTCCTTGCTGAGGGTGGACCAGGCTCACCTTGTGGAAGAAGACGGTCTCCAGAAGGTTGATAATGGAGGCCTCGTGGTGCACCTGGGCAGGAAAGGAGGAGCAGAGCACACTCGGGAGAGAAATCCCAGGCCCACTTCCTGCCCACAGCCCGGCTCCATGAGGTGGGACGCCCACCCTCTTAGGCTTACTTATCCAACTTAGTGTAGAGCCCTAGCTGGGGCCAGGAGGGAGGGAGGGGACATGGGTCAGACACCTGCGAAGCAGGTTGGGGGGAGGGAGGGTGGGGAATACAGAGTGTCCAGGGTCCACTGCTGTTCTCACCACCATGTAAATAGGAAAGGTGTTATGGGGTTTGAAATCTTCCAGCTTGCACAGAATGGGGAACACCTTCTGCTTCCACACCTCCACAGAAATCAGTTCCTCAATCAGAGTCGGGATCTGGCGGTGCCGGAGGAGACAAGAAACGAAGCCTCATCACAGACTTTTCAAGGTGGAAGGGGTCTCAGCTGCCGGTAAGTCCAGCCTCACTTTGGGTGGGAAGCTCTACTCTCACACGCCTGATCAGTGGTCCTCCCCCGAGGGGGCAGGGCAGCTGCCAGCTCCCAAGGTAGCCCGTTTCACTTCCCGATAGCGCTAATTATCGCCAGGCTTCTCCTGACATCAAACCTAACCTTGCCTTTTTGCTACTTCTCTCCACTGCTCCTGGTTCTGCCTTTGAAAAGAAGCAGAACAAATGGAATCTCTCACATGAGCCTTCAAGTGTTTGGAAGAAGCCATTAGGTTTTCCATGAGTCTTCTCTTCAAGCTAAATTCCCCCAGTTCTTTCATCCTCTTACGTGACAGGGACGCAATGCCCTTTACCGTTCTGCTTGCTTCCTAGCTTATCAATGTCCTTTTTTCTTCCATTTTATTTTATTTTTTCCACATTAGTCATGTTGTGAAAGAAGGATCAGAACAAAAGGGAAAAACCACAAGGAAGAAAAAAAAGAGAGAAAGAAAATAGTACGCTTCGATCTGCATTCAGATTCCATAGTGGATAGCATTTTCCATCATGAGTCTTTTGGGATCGTCTTAGATCATTATCAATGTTCTTTTTAAACTGTGGCTTCCAGAACTGGACACCCAAGCCTTGCTATGGTCTGACCAGGGCAGGGGCAGCGCTCATCTCGTTGCTCCTGGGATGGAAGCAGGAGTCTCACCATGCTACCCAAAGCTGCACTGGTTTTTTGGGCTCATACCCAGCCTTCAGTTCTCTACTTCCCCCGTCCCCTTCATCTTTTTCAGACAAGCTCCATCTGTCTCTGTCTCTCTCATCCTGTATTGGGAAGTGGAGCTTTTGAGCACAAGTGATAAGAAGGTTGCTAAGGATGGTTATGGTGAGTTTCCCCAATTTAAAAATCATTAGTGGAATTTTAATGAGCATGTGTGTGTTATATTCCTCCTTCAGCTGAGCTAACAAAGTAAAGATGACTGAGTGCTCAGGGTCACTTCTGGCTATAGTACCAGAAGCAGTACTTATTACAATGCAATTCCAAGTATAAGAAAATGATTTTATAGTCCCAAATTAATTGTAATGGTATTTATCTTATATGAATACAACTTCAAACACACAAGGATTCTATATAGACACACTGTAAACTTCGGTAGCAAATATTTATAAGGGACCACTCAAAAAGAGAATCCATTTGCCTAGTAAGGCACTCAATAACTTATGCTTCAACTCCTTGCTTGTCTTCTCCCTTGGTGGAAGTGGACGGTCACAAATGAGTGTTCGATGTGATGGAGTTGTGGTTAATAGTCACTTTGTTTTCTAAGGTTCTAGGGGCCTAAAGCAGGAAGGCTGGAGTTTAGCTGTCTTCTAAGCCCTCTTGACATCTTACCCAATCCCAAGGCTTTGATGAGTAAAAGACTAAACACTATTTCATTTGGGGGGTGGGAAATGGGGAAATTAGCAATGGGGGATGAGGACAGGTCTTGTATACAAGACCGAACTCCCAGGTAACAACTTAAATTTATGTCTTACTTTCAAATTTATAAGACATCTTGCTCACAGATACCTTGTGGGGTAAGCAGTGCAGGGACAATTATCTCTATTTCTTGGAATGATGAGGAATAGTTAGTACAGCGGCTCAGTGATTGGCCCATTGTCCCACCACCCCAGGGTTTTCTTATATCACAGAGAGGCCGTGTTGCATGATGGAAAAAGCCCTGGACTCTGGATTGGTGTCACAAGCTCATGTGTTTGAACCATGGCTCTGCTCTCTAGGCCCAGTGTGGCCTCCAGCAGGTCAGCCTTCTCTCATTTTCTAAGGTCCAAGCCGGCAACCTGAGCTCCTCAATGCTCACTACATCTTCCCCCTCTTCCTGAAACCAGGTCCTTGTCCTGACTCCCCCATCTCACAGTCCTCCCTGACCCCCCAGCCTTCAGGAGTCCATAGGCAGCAAGTGCTTGTTCAGACTATCTCTATGGATATATTAGCTGGGAGAGCAAAATGCTGCATCTTAAGGTTTGAAAAGTGTGCTGACACCTGCATGCAATCTCATTTGACCTTCACCATAACTCTGGGAGGTAGGATTTTCTCCATTTTACAGTTGAGGAAACCCAGGCTCAATCTAAAAACTTTAGCTAGCTGAAATGCTGGCTTCAGGCCTTGTCTTGGCTGAGGGCCTGCTCATCAACATCCTATTTCCACTTTTATTTTTGTGGTCATTGTAGCCAAGGATGTTGACTCTAGGAGCTTCCTATGGTGCAAACATAACAACACTCCTCCTTCTCTCATCTCTTTCTTTCTTCTTTTTGCCAGGCAATGGGGTTAAGTGACTTGCCCAGGGTCATACAGCTAGTAAGTGTCAAGTGTCTGAGGCTGGATTTGAACTCAGGTCCTCCTGACTCCAGGGCCAGTGCTCTATCCACTGAGCCACCTAGTTGCCCCTCATTTCTTCTTTAGACTACATACAACCTGTCCCAAGTCTTAATGCCATTTTACTAGCTTAAAACTGCACTAAAATAAACTAATAGTTAAATCTAAGTTTTAGTTATATTAGTTTTAACTGAAAACGAATAGTTTTAAACTAGTAAAACCTGCACTAAGACTTTTGGGATACCTTGTATTATAAACACTCCATGAGGACAAGTCAACAAGCATTTACTGTGTCTACTATATGCCAGGCTTTGTGCTAAGGACAATTTAGTCTGAAGTCCTTGGTCCCACCTAAAAAGAAAGGCTAATCAATATTAGTTTGAAATCCTTTTAAATATCTTTTTCAAAGGCCTAACATATGTCTAAAACTAAGTCAGAATAGAATTAAGGTAGTGACCTGTCAAGGGCTAGGGGCCCTTGATCCCCCACCAAAATAGGGGAGTGATAAAACTTAAAAAAGGAAGGAGACTTTGATAGAAGTATTTCTTGTGTTCACCTTTGACTGGGCAGAAAGAAGAATCCTGGGAGGACGAGTTGCAGAGGGATTAAACAGTCGTAGGAGAATTTGCTGACACTGTAATTCTGTTACCTGAATGCTGTTACTATGATTTAGCTTATTGTGGAATTTTATCTTTGTTTAGGAGAACTACAAATTTTAACTCAAAATGGCTTGGGTGAGATTTTCAAAAAGTCAGGATTTTCTCTAAGAAAAATGCTCAAGATTACAATAATACAATGTTTCTACCAGACTTGTATCAAAAATCCCAAAATGCAATTAGTGGTTTTCTTCCACATCCTTTTCTCTCACTGTCCCTTTTCCATCCCAGCTCCATATTCTATAATACAGGGGTCCTAACTCTAGGAGTTAGTCACAAAGGCAGAGAGAAAGGTATGCAAATCAGGTGCTCAGACAAAATCTGATCCAGGTAAGTAACCTCAAAGATTGCTCAGGGGATTCCTAATCCATTAAAGATTGATTTATTAGTGCTCTGACAACTTTCCAGTAACTCCAATACTCCAGGATAACCCTTTGTCCCATTATCCTCAAATCAGCCTAGTTAGTGAGCACGCCATTCTTCTGGTTCTGAATTTTTCAGTTTTCCAGATTTCCTGGTATTCCTCATAATTGCCCTTATTAATTGCATTACAGTAAGCCACTATACTAATGTCCTATGATGTATGTAGCCACTCTTCTAGTTGATACATTTAATACTGAATATCAACTCCAGCATATTTGCTTTGTAATGATTATTTAAATTAATTTTGGTACATGAAATGTCATAGTTTTTCAGTCATTTCCTCCATCAGAATTCTTTGCTCATTTTTAGTTCTGCTCTTTTTTTGGCTTTAAAGCATTTCACAAAGATCCTTCCAAAATTCTTTATATTCCTTGGTACTACAGTACTCTAGTATAGTAATGTACCACAATTTATTTAGCCATTTGGACATTCAGATCGTCCCCCTCCCTCTCCCTTTTTTTTTCAACTACAAAGAGTGCTGTTTTGTTCCTTTTGATAACACTCTCTGCGTTTATTCATGATATTGATACTGATGGGTCAAAGAGTATGACTAGGTTGCCCTCCACAGAGATGCTCCACCAGTAATAAGTGAGCATGCCTTCTTCCCCAGAAGCCCACCAGTACTGAGTTTAGTTGTTTTTAATTTTTGCAAATGTGATGGATTTGTGAGGTGGTTCCTCCAAGTTAAACCAGTTTGCATCTCTGAGTATTAGTGAGGCTGAACATGTTTCAGGGGCTCATTCTCAGTGGGTAGTTCTCTTTGTAGCCCTTGATAAGCCTTTCCATGGGCAGAGCCAACCTTGGGAGAGTAGCTAAATGTACAACTCCATGGGAAACCTAGTTTTTAGGTCTCCACAGAATGGTTATGAAGAGCAACAAGAACAGAGGGAAGAGATAAAATGCCCAAGGGAAAATGCTACTGTTTATCTTTCTGGACTGTTCAGAAATTACTCCCTGTCATGTCCTTGCCATTCCAACCAAACTGTTCCTTCCGCTATATATTCCCTATCTCATCTGTGAGTCTTTGAACACTGTGCCTTTCAGGCCCATCTCTTTGTATTTCCATATCTTTATACAGGTTCTTTCACTCCAGTAGAATGTAAGCTCATTAAGGGCAGGGGGGCTGTTTTGGTCATACAGCAAGTGCTTAATAAATGCTAGATGAATTGAGAAGGAAACCCACGGTTTCTTCAGTGAGGTTTGTTTTTTCAAGGGTCTAATGGGGGAGAGGGGAACCTGCTGTCTCAAGGCCACATGTGGCCCTCTAGGTCCTCAAGTGCGGCCCTTTGACTGAATCCAAACTTCACAGAACAAATCTCCTTAATAAAACAATTTGAAAACTTGGACTCTGTCAAGAGGCCAAACCCAAGGTCCTAGAAGGCCACATGTGGTCTTGGGGCCAATCCCTAATCCAACTTCTTATTCTTAAAAGTACTTCCCTCACAGCCCAGGAAAGTAAGCTTATAGGTAGGTAAGGAACCAGAGGCCTGTTGTCTTCCAGCAAGCAGCTGCTGGCAGCTGGTATCTGAAGCCAGGTGTCCTGATTCCACATCTTTTCTCCCTTTTCAGAATCCCTACGAACACTTAACGTGTCTTATTGTACACTTGCGTATGTAACCCTCCAACGCTGTTACCTAAAACTCTTACTGAAACCTGCTGGTGCCATTGAACATTTTCCTTGTTTTGCTTTTATTCCCCTCTGAGACAGGACTGTGAACTCCTTGAGGTCAGAGACTAGGTCTTAGCCATTTCTTAGTACAGTGCCTGGTACACAGTAGGTGTTTAATAAATGCTTATTCTCTTCCCCCTTTTAGGACCTAGCTAGAACCTAGCCCATCTAGTACACAGTTTTGGAGTGATCTAGAAGAGAGTTTATTGGCTCATAGCGCTTAGAATCAAAAGGTACCTTAGACTATCTAATGAATTTCCCCTCAGCAGGAAGCATAAAGCTGGGCACAGTAAGTGGAACTAAAGAAATTCTTACTAATTTGTTTTGTTGATGGAAAGGGGAAAAAAGTTCCCCCCGAGGTCAGAGGACGTGAACAGAGAAAAGAGAAACACTTTCAGAGCCAGTGCAGTACAGGCCTGAGCTCCCTTTGGGGTCACTAGATAGATGATATATGTTTTAGATGTCTTGTTTGTGTTATATATACCTTATCTGAAGGGGATAAGAACTCCTCTCCCATATTAAAATTTATCTCCAGGGATCAAATGGCCACTGGTGAAATTGAGGTGTCAGAAAGAGAAAGAGTTTGGCTTAGGTGCCCCCAGAGTCGTTCAGACGCTACCACACAGGTTGCTACCCGTACAAGCGGAGGCATCAGATCTTCTACTTTGCCTTGAGTACTCCAATGGGGAAGGAAGCAGACAATGTCTGCCTTCCTGAAGGGAAGTGAGTTACTCAAAGATCTTATCCTGCTGTCAGGGAGGGAGGGAGGGGGCAGGGTGGGGGATGGGTATCTGGCCTTTTAGCAGCAGTCTCTAGTACTAGGGTTCCATATCATACCTTGCCATGTGTGACCAGCAGCTCCTGGATGGGCTCTCCCTGGCTGGATGAGGCATCCAGGATGGCCTGCATATTCAACTTCTCCAGCTGTTCATGCTGCCGACACCACCTGGCCATAAGGGATTCAGTGGGATGGAGAAAACCTTGAAGCTTCCAGACACCATGTAGCCCCCAAAGGGAGGGGGGGTTTCTGGGTAGGGCTGACTTTAGTCTCTAGTCTACCTGACCAGGCACAGCAAAGCCCTTCTCTCCCACCCACGACCCTCCACCCTAACTACGAGAGCTTGAAGTCGCCAGTCTGGGACCCTGGGGGAATGGGGGTGGCATTGTACAGCCCCCACAAGTTCTGCAGACATCTTCAGTTTATCAAAGCCCTCTACACCCACTCTGGGGGCTGGTCTGCAGCCCTCTGTCCGGGCCGAGGGGCGTGGTCCCCGCGCCCCCAGCCCCTTCCTGGGGGCCTCGGAGCCCTCACCCCTGGGATCCCATGTCCCGCAGTGGGAAGCTCTGCAGGGCCTGCACCAGGGCCTCGGCCTCTCCGGGCAACAGCACTTCCAAGTCCCCCATCCTCGGGCTGTGGCGAGATGGAGGAAAGTCGGAGCACCATTCAGCCCCTTCGCGGCGTCGCGCTCGCGCGGTGCTCATTAGTTGAAAAGCGGTTGGAAAGACTGGCGTCCCCGTCGCCAAGGAAACGAAGGGCTCGCCATCGCGCGTGAAGGCGCCAGCTCCCCCTGCTGGACGCAGAGGGCAAAGCCAGGAGACGGAGCAGGAGGGCAGAGAAGGAAGGCGCTTTATTCACCCAGTCCGCCCCTACCCTCCAAGTCCCACAGCGGCGGAGGGCGCGGGTGCTCCCAACTCCCGCAGAGGGCTTCACTTCCAGCAGACGATGATGTTGGGGTCATTGTCCAGACGCTCATCCAGCTCCCGGTAGCTCATTCCTAGGAGGATGGGCGGGAGGCAGGTGCTCACTCGCAGAGCCCCTGGCCCCCCGTGGTCGCCCCCGGCCCTCCGCGGCCGCCCCCCACACCCACCCGTCTTGCAGCAGATCTCGTCGTAGCTGTGGCAGCCTGTGTAGAGGCGGGCCGGGTGGCTGCGCTCCTCCGCGGTGATTCGCACCGGGTACTTCTGCAGCCGCCTCATCAGATTCTTCATTAGCCCAAACTGGATCAGCTTCCTGTTGGGAGGGCGGGAGGACCGTGGGTGAGGCCTCCATACCAGCCGAGACCTTGCCTGCCCAGATGGATTCAACTCAGCAAACACAAAGTACCTACTGTGTGCAAGGGTCACCTCCCCAGGAAACGTCTAAGTGTCAACATCGCTGACTCTGAGGCAGAGGCAACCTCTGAGAGGTCTGAACGGTGCTCTTTATACTGAAGGGGAAACTGAGGCCCAGAACAGGTAAGGTGTTTGGCTCAAGGTTGGTAATCCTTCTCTCCGGAAAGAGAGTTAGATTTGGAAATCAGCAGCCCTCCAGGTGAGGAAGGAGGGTGGATGGAAGGTGTGCTGGGCAGTCACCTCCTCAGGGCCTCAGTTTCTTCTACTGTCATAATACCTGCACTGCCTATCAGGCAGGACCAATGCCGGATAAAAGCCAACAGCTCTCCTCTCAGTTTCGGTGCCCTGATGGACTGCCTTCCCCTAGATGGCTATAACCAAATGAGGCACCCCCCTCCCATGTGTCCCTCAAGGCCAGCCCCCTGGGCTTGCAGCCTTCCCCAGGCGGCCCAGCTTTCCAGAGGTGAGGGCTGCACCCTCACTGACCTCTCATCCACATGCTGCAGCTGTTGAGTATAGCGGCCAATGAGGTCTCGGACAGTGGTGCCTGGGCTGAGGCCACAATAGAGCTGGAAGACATCTCGGAGGCTGGCTCGCTTATGCCCTGTGAGTTGATATGGTGACAGGAAGCTGGTGGCCCACATACCTGTGGCTCTTCGTTATCATTCTGGGCCTCAGGGCAGTTTGAGGGGCAGTTGGGAGGAATTGGAATTAGGATTTCTTCTTTATCGTTTTGGGCCCCTAAGAAGGCACCTTTGCACAATGGGATCTGGAGCTAGAAGAGACCAGGGTTTGAACACTATTTCCAACACTTCTTAGCTACATGACCACAGGCAAGTCACTTAAATCTGTGCCTCAGTTCCTTATCCATAAAATGGGAATAATACTACTTACAGAGAAGTTTGTGAGGTAAGTGATTTTTGAATCTCAAAATACTTGAAGCATTTGTGGACTATTACTGGACGTGGCTTCTCTGAGCTCGTGCAAAGGCACTGCTGTAAGTGAATCAGACTGCCCTCGACGCTGTGTCCTCGCCCTCATCCCTCCCTATCCTCCCATACCTTGTTTGGTGACATAGGACAGACATTCCTCCTGCAGTGACTTATCATCCACCAGGTCCTGAACCTTGGGTGTGGGGCAGTACACATTGGAATACTGGGGGAGGAAAGATGGAATGAGGCCTGAGGTGCCCACTGGCCCCCTCTTCCCCAAGCTTAGAAACCCCCAACTACAAGTCAAGACCTTAGAAAAGTCCCTTATGCCCCAATGTCCATCGGTAAAAACTAAGACATTTAGATTGGATATCTAATGTCCCTTTTGATTCTAAACACTAGCAGCCAATGAATTTGCATCATTGAAAAAAAAAATAAACTGAAAACTAGGAAAGCTGGATTCTCATCCTCATTCTGCTACAGAATACTTACTGGCTGTGTCACCTCAAACAAGGCCTTTCCCCTTCGGGGTCTCAGTTTCTCCAGCTGTACAACCAGAGGACCCACCATTCTGTGTCTGTTCTAGCCATGCGCACAAGCCATTCCCCACTCCTACTGGGAATCGCATTCTCTACTGTTCTCATGCTTTTAGTGGGTATTATCATCTTGATTTCAGGTTGTGCTCTGAAGTGGAACCCCTCTTCCTTTCCCAAACACAATGTTCCTCTCTCTGTTCCTCTTCTCACCTGGAGGATGGATACGAGGGTCACCACTCCATAGTACCTGCAGGAGACACACCGATCAGTGTTGGCCTCTGGCCTCCATTGAGGCCTAACTCCCCCACTAGGTACCCCCTGCCCCCAGCTTAGGTATTCTCAATTGGGTGGTAACATCTGTGGGGTCTCAGAATAAGGGGAAGATCTAGCAAATGGGAGAGGTGGGGAGAGCAGGTCCTGGTAGTGTCCAGGTCCTGGTGCCATCAGTCTATCCTCTCACCCATCTCGTGGTCCCTGGCCCACTCACAGCAGGTTCTGGATGGCAATCCGAACAAGGTTGAGCTCCACGTCAGCCTCAGCAGAAATTTTCTGGATGTGTCGAAAGCCATCGATGTAGGGCAGTATCTAGAGAGGGTGGTTATGTCATCACTGAGCTCAGTCTGTGTACCCCACTTCCCACAGGGACTGAGAGGGAAGCTTGGCTGGCCAGGGGAACCCTAAGCAGGTGGGCACATAGCAGGTGGGCATACTTGCTGCGTGGTGAGGTCCCACTGGGAGTTAAAGAATTCATCCTTGTCCTTGGTAAAAACGGGTACATCATACTCCTGGGCAATGGGGGGGTCAGGCCGTTGCTCAATGACCTTCAAGTGGATGGTATTAGACTCATCTATAGAGGAAGATGATAACGATTCCAGGAAGCCTTCCGGAAGGGTACCATGACACATGCACATGGTTGCATCTGTGTAAGGCTTGTACGTTCCAAAGCACTTTTGTACGCCATAGTATGGTGGAGCGGAAAGAACGATGACCCAGTGGGCAGAGGTCTGGGTTCATACTGAAGCTCTACCACTAACTTGCTGTGTAGCTACGGAAAAGTCTAGTCCTATTTGACAGATGGTGAAACCAGGGCTCAATGAGATTTGGATTTTGCCTGCTTCCTCCTCTATAAAATAATGGGGATGGGGTAGGAAGAGGGCTAGATGACCTCTAAAGCCTCCTCTGGCTCTAAAACCTAAGATCCTGTGAGAATCCTCCCCTGATTCTCACCCTAGACACCACAGATAGGCTAGGCACTATCACATTGCACAGAGATGCTGATGACCCCAAAGGGTCAATCATTCATTAGAGAGCAGACGTGGGGTTACCTGCAGAACTAGCTTCTGCGGGCACTTCCCTTGGCCCATCCTCACAAAGTTCACTGTCTGTGCCCCAGATTTTGGAGCCTGATCACAGAGTCTAATTTCCTTTTCTGTCTTTCTCCATTTACTTCAGTCTGTGACCTAACTTAGGAACCCTCTCCTCTACATGTCCCATTCCTTGTGATAAGGCACATCCTCTTGGTGCCTATAAATCAGGAGTTCCCTTTGGCAGTCTGAAGAAGTCTACAGACTCCTTCTCAGAGTCATGTTTTTAAATAATTGGAGGAAATGGTAAATGTCATTTAGAGAGATTAGTGAAAATAAAGATGTCCTTTATTTCTCACTAAAGTTCATGGATCCACTGAAATCTTTTGGGGGTTATGTGGGACAGTAATCTTTGGGGCTCTACATGGACAGCTCTGAATTCTATTTTCACGTGGGCAGTGATGTGCAGGCAGCCCCTCTCTGGAGGAGGGACTGGACCCTGGGGCCTTACCTATAGGCAGGGTGCATCTGCCTGTGGCATTGAGCTCCTCCAGGAGGATGGTCATGATGGGCACTAGCTTCTGTTTGCTCTCCTCTGTGGACACAAAACTGCTCTCCAGCTGCAAGGGAAAATGTGATGGAAAAGGTGAGCCACTGACCTTTCCTTGGGAGTTGCCATGAGGCCCATCAATGACAGGGGAACAGCAAGCAGGGAAGGCAGATTCCTTGGTGCCCCATTTCACTCCTGCTTGGTACAGTTTAAAAAGCACTGGATTTGCAGTCAGAGGACTTGGGCTCTTGCCATTTTATGAGTTGTTTGGCCTTGGGCAAATCACTGAACCTCTTGGAGCTTTATTTTACAGTTGGGGAAATAGGGTTGGACTGAATGATCTCTGATCCTTTCTAGCTTTAAAGCCCTGTTCACAGGAGCCTAAGTCTTTGCCCTGCCTGGGCATCTGTTTCCTGTCTAGGAAACAGTTATTAGACTAGATGGTCTTTGAGGTGTCTATGAGATGGAGTCTGCAGTAGGACTTTGTGCATCCCTCTACCACCCAAGCTGAGTTACTCCAGGAAGACCAAGACTACCGTTCAGGGCCCTGGGGCTTGAGCCCCTGGAGAGATGGCCCCCACGGAGCTGAGCACACCAGGGGGGCTGGCTCTGACCTCCAGTGTGGTAAGGTAGCCAGCCAGCTTCTTAACAATGGGCTCCAGGGCACAGGTCTTAGCTCGGGCATCACACACAAAGCCGAGGTTGAAGAGCAGCGCATTTCGACTGTATTTCTTATGCTCGATGCACACAGGGCAGCCAATCAGCTTCTTCTCCATGGCTGTCCTAAGCAGGAAGCAGAGTTAGCACGAGGGGGTGGCAGGTGCCTCTCTCAGGTTCCTCCCCCTCCCCTTCTAGAAAACCTCTCAGAGAATGGGAGCAGAGCTGGGCCTCTGGGGACCTCATTGGGATTCTGGTTCAGGGCCTTGTCAGCTGTCTGTCCCTGTGGCGATATTTCTCATTTGCTTCTTCTCCTGATACTACTCTGATCCAGACCCTGGTCAGTTCTTGCCAAGGTGATTACGGTACTCCTGACTGTCTCCTGGACTTTAAGTCTCTTCCCCCACTAACCAATCCTGCAGGAGAAATGCCCCCCTTCTTCTGCCAGAGTAATCATTCAAGAGCCCAGCTTGGATCAAGCCACTCCTTTACTTAAAATCCTCTTCCCTAAAGGATAAAATACAAACTGCTTTTGTCAGGCACTCAAGAATCTGGGTGCAACCCCTACTTCTAGCTTTATTTCACATGATTTCCCTATATACAGTCTCTGCTCCAGACGAAGGGGACTGTTTCCCAGTATGATTTTGCCTTATGTCCAGAATGCACACCCTCTCAACATTTCACTCGGTTCAGATCAGGTGACACCTCTTCTATGAAACCATCCTTGATTCCTCCCCATTCAATAAACATCAAACACCTACTATGTGCCACAGTGGATGTGATTTGGTGTTTGGGTGTCTACACTCGCATCCCAATTCCAAGACCATATTTCTTCCTAGCCTCAAGGCACTATCCCTTACAGTTGTTCCTCTCAACCCAAAGACTCTCTCTGGCAGTAACTCAGTAGTGGGCCTAGTGAGGCAAACTATCTCACTATCTCTCCCTGTTATAAGACCAAGCTGACCTCTGTAGAATTACCCTTGTATAAATGAGACTATCTCGTATCAACAAAACTTGTGTATCAATGCCCACAGTTATTGTATATGATCCAGAGGTCACATTATAGACATCAACTCCCAAAGCTATGTTGTTACAAACAGACCAAAAATACACCCCTATACCTCTTAGGAAACTCCTGTCCTCCCCCTTCCCCCCTTTCCAGTAGTGAATGATGCCTGTGACTAAGGTTGTATGCTATCACCTAATTAGCATACGTGCTACATAATCCACTGCTTTTCCTGTATAAGCTTTAGCATCATTCCTGTTAGGCTGCAAGTTCCCTAAGGAGCTCTGCCCACCATGGCAGAATCCCTTAAGGAGCTCTGCCTGCCATATTAACGTTATAATAAACCTTTGCCAACTTGACTTAAAGAATGCTTGAGTCTGTGAATTCACTCCAGACCACTCTGTCCTGTACTTGGGTCCCTGAACCTCTCAAAAGAATCAGAGATAGGGAGTCCAATTAATAACCAATTATAGTTTCCCAAGTGAGTAAATGGTGGTGGTTGTATGAGTGGAGAGGAGATGAGGAAAGACTCGTCCAATCATAGGCTAAGGAAACATGAGGTAAAGAGTCAAGGTGATCTTGTAACTAAGGTTAAGAAGCTGTAGGTGAGTGGAAAGCTGTGGTGCCTTCCTTGACCATCTGGTCCAGATCCCTCCTTTGGCCCTTTCACATTTTACCTTGTGGACATGCATGTCAGATTCTTCCTGGTAAATTCTAAGCCCCCTGAGGCCAGGGCCTGTGTTTTTCAACACAGCACCCTAGGCAACCATCTGGCAAATCTCGGATGAATAGGGCTCTCCCGGGCTGGAGGCGGGCCGGGACTTACACCGTGATCAGCTTGTTCTGGAGCTCCGGCTTGGTGATGATATACACCTGCACAGTGTCAAACAGCTCCCGGGAGATGAAATCTTCGGGGACCTGGGGAGACAGCCCTGGGCATCTCGTGGGGTGCCACGGCCCCGCCCAGCCCATCCCTCCGCCTCGCCCCGCCCCACGCCTACCTGGTAGGTGATTTTGGGGCCCAGCGTGGGGTGGAATTCGCTGAAGAAGATGCACTCGATCCTGCTGCTGCTGCCCATGGCGGCTGGTGGGGCGCGGAGACCCCAAAGGCCTGGGGACGGAGCCCCAGCCCCGCCCACTCGAGGAGCTGAAGAGGGAAAGACACGGTGCTTGGCTCAGTCTCCCCACGTTCGGGCCGCAGGGGTTCCCTGGGTGGTGGATGCTGGCGCATCCCCTGCTGTCCTCTCGCCCCTGGCGCTCCCTGTCGACCCCGAGCCCCACCGGCTTCAGGAGCCTTCCGGGACCATTCTGGCTCCGCGGCTCCAGCGAGCCCGAACCCGGCCAATACCCGTACCTGAACAAGTGCAGAAAAGGAGCCGGCTCCCTTGGGCACCTGTGCAGTAGCAAGGCAGCGCGCAAGCCTTCCCTTGCCCCGCCCACAACCCAAGAACACCCGGTGGCCTGCGCTTTGCGTTCCAAGGCAAGGGATCCAGGGACTCTTCTTGACGTAAGTTCCGGACGGGAGGAGGTATCACCCGGAAATGAAAGGAGTCCCTCTCCGCGGAGACGGTGCAATAGGTGTTTCCCGGAACTTCCTCTCAGAAGCCGGAAGGCCGTGAGCCGAGTGCGTAGGTGAGCCTAGGAGATTCCAGAACGGGTACGGGTTGCAGCACTGGAGTCTGCGGCGCGTGGTGGGCCTGTGGTCGCGGGGTGAGGGGGTTAACTACAATTCCCACAATGCTTCTCGGTTGCCTAGGGCTCTCTAGTCGAATAACCTGCCTATGGCCAGAGAACTACTTTTCCCACCGTGCCCTGCAGTCGACTTTAGGGTTTCTTGGGCCGGCGCCAGCGCGGTGCATCTTGGAATTCGTAGTCCTCATGGCCCTCCACCAGCATCCTACCTGGGAGCGTCCTGCTTGTCCGTCGTCTTACCCCTTGGCTAGTCTGTCCAGGTGTGGGTGACGCTGGCCTGTCTGTTCCGACCAGGTCCCTAGTGGCTGCAAGGATCTCCCCGGGGGACGGGGCTTTTGGGCCCGGAGCCCTAGGACCATTTCGGCACCTTGGGACATGGCCCTTACCGTGGAGACTGAGTCGCGCATCTACCGGGGCCTGCGGACTGCCTCGGGGGCCGCCGCCCACCTAGTGGCCCTCGGCTTCACGGTCGTCGTGGCTGTGTTGGCCCGGCCCGGCTCTAGTAAGTGGGATGGGGTCGGATTCACCCCTCGGCCGAGGGCCAGGAGGTGGTTCGGGAAGGAGGGGCCTAGAACAGAGCCCCTGGACGTCCGGGGCCAGGGCAGCTGCGGCCCTTCTTTTCCCTCAGGAGGGGATCCCAGGGAGGTTTGTCGGCTTGGGTCAGGCTTGCCAGAAGCCAGTTGCATTCCTGCAAGAAACCCCCTTTGGCCAGACTTTCTGATCCTGGCATACTTTGTGTGATCCATCCCAGCTACTTCTGGATCCTCCAACAAGATGTGTCCCCATCCGTGTGTCAGTGGCCATTTCCCTGCTGCCAGTGGGGGAAGGGGCAGTCCCAGCTTGTGTTGTTGGCCAGGCACAAGGATCCTGGTCATCGGATATAGAGCCTGAAGGAAATTTGGAGATCATTTTTCACTTGGCCTACAGCTCAGCATATTTGTTGTGGCTTGACCACTCTTAGCACTCACTTCCTGCAAGATACGTCCTCACTACCTGTGGGAAAGGTTGACCAGGTTCTTATTTGCCACAGTGGTGGATTTTAGGGTCCTTTGGCCAGGGCACCCAGGCTACTTCCAGGATCTCTTGAAAGTTGTATCTAACTCCTTGGGTAGGTGCCTGGAGGGGACTGTCAGTGTTGAGAGAGGGAGGACAGGAAATGTGGAGCCAGCTTGGGGTTCTAGGTGTCAGAAAACTCGTTTTATCTCTGTTGATAGAATTCTGGCCTAGTAGGAGAATGGATGGTGTAAGGTTTTGCTCCAGGATCTGTTCCCATCTTCCCTGTGGAAGAGTTCAGTGAAGCCTCTGGGAGATGGGAGTCTGGCGTGCTCTTCCAGCCACACTCTTGGCTATGGCTGTTCAGAGAAGTCATCTCCAGCCTCAAGTTGAGCTGGGCTAGACTTTACCTAGTTGGAGGAGGGGGCTAGAAGCTCATGTATCCATTTACAGGGAGATGACATTGCTGCCTTCAACCCCTTTTCTTCAGCTTAGTTGACTCCCCTAACCCCAGTTTCTAGACCACTTTTGGTTGCAGCCTTCCTCCTTCTTGCAGGTCTGTTCTCGTGGCATCCGGTGCTTATGTCTCTGGCTGTAAGTAACCTGCTTTCCCATCAGTGGTTTGGGCAAAGCCCAGTGGGGATGGGGGGAGGGGCAGCATGTTGGGGAGGAGGTTTTGGAACTTGGGTAGTATGGGAGGCCAATATGGGATGAGCACTAGTAATCACCGATGGTTCATTCCTACGGTTTGTGCTTGTCCCTAGTATTAGAAGTTTGCAGTTTGCCATGCAGACGATTTACTAGTTTATTTAAAGGGTATGAGGCAGTATATTCATATACCTAGATGCCCTTAAGCCCTTTAATTTAGCCCATTACATGTCATCTAATTTTCCATGAAGTACTGTCCCTATTCACCTGGCTCTACAGGATGAAACATTATCTATCCCCTATCAGTCCCACATTGGTGACGTGGAACAAATTCATCATTTAGAGCTTAGAGGTTTTTTGCTCCAAGTTGCTACAGTAAGGACTGTGTATAAGCAGTGAGGTAATATTTCAAAAAGGACCAAAGAAATATTTTGTTGAATTAAAAAGGAAGATTTGTGGTAGGGTAGCTCTTGACTATTTGCAGGTGGGTTCTATGGAACACAGGCTTAATCCATTGCTAGCTCTTTCTCACAACTTTTCTACCACTTAAACTCACCCTGAAGTCAAGGAAGGCCAATCTATAATGCCAGCTTGAGTTGGATAGCTTCAGGAAGGTAATTTGAGCTACTGTGAAAGTCATAACCTGAATTCCAGAGCCAGGTAGAAAAGTCTGGCTTCTCTGTTTCTTGGGCTTCCTTGTACTATATCTCTTTCATTAGCTTGGCTCGTTGAAAGTTGGCTCACTTTAGAGCTCATGCCTTGGTCCTATTTGTCTCTCCAGTTCTCCTTCCTGATGACAGAAGCACTGCTGGTCTTCTCCCCAGAGAGCTCCTTGTTTCGATCCTTCTCTCGAAAGGGCCGGGCACGATGCCACTGGGCACTTCAGCTGCTGGCCCTTTTGTGTGCCCTCCTGGGCCTGGGCTTGATTGTCTACAACAAGGAGCAGCACGGCAAAGCTCACCTGGCTACATGGCATGGATGGGCAGGGCTGCTGTCAGTGCTGTGGGCCGGGCTGCAGTGTACAGGTGGGCTGGTGCTGCTGTACCCCAAGCTGCTCCCACGATGGCCGCTGGCCAAGCTGAAGCTGTATCATGCCACCTCAGGGCTGGTGGGTTACCTACTGGGCAGTACTAGCCTCCTCTTGGGCATGTGCTCACTCTGGTTTACCACCACGCTGGTGGGTGGTGCCTGGTACCTGGCTGCTCTCTGCCCCATTCTCACCAGCCTGGTGGTCATGAATCAGGTGAGCAATGCCTACTTGTACCGCAAAAGGATCCAGCCGTGAAGGAGAAAGCATCCATCTGCCCCTATCCTTTCCTGCAGTGATCCCATATTCTGCCCAGAAAAGGCTGCTCACAGTGCTGCTTGGACTCTCTTGGCTCTCCTGACACCGGGTGGGCCTGGGTCATACATTGTCCCTTTGGAGGACAGGTGGAAGAGATGTGAATCGAGGAAGAGTGCTATATGTCCCACACAGAGACTTCTGTCTCATCTTCCTGCCACCTACGAAGGGGTATGTGAGCACATGGATGGACTGCTGGCAGCCTGCCTGCCTCTTCTGCTCATCTTTTAGACTCTTATCAATGTTTGCAAAACAGGAAAAAAAACCTGACTATGGAAAGTAAGAGCTCCGAGCCAGAATTGATTCTTACAGATACCATTCATGTGAAGAAGCAGTCTGGGCCAGGTGAAGCACCTTTTTGTTGGGGGTAGCAGTGAAGTTTGGGTTGACTTTGCTGCCGGTGAGGTCTTGGCTCCTGGGGGCAGAGCAGCTTCCCCTTGCTTAGGGGTCAGGGAGGCCTGAGGAGCACCTGCCATTTCCTAGGAAGCAGGGATAGTGGGAGGGCAAGGCCAAGGAGTTAAAGATGTGTTTTTGTACTTCCCATAAAACTCTTCTATCTACCTGTCCATCTGTGTGTGCATGTAATTGGTATGTTACCAGTTCAAGAGTTAGTGCCTGGATGAGCTGAGAGCAGGAATGGGATCAACCAATAAGACAACTCCCTCTGTGTGGGTTAGTCTTACTGAAATAGCCCACACAGCCAAGAGCTGGGAAGGGTATGGCAAGATGGAGAAGAGAGCTAACCTGATGGCCTCTAAAACCAGTGGACAGAGGGGTGGCACCTGTGGTCAGTGTAGAGCCTCGGCATCTATCTCCTCTCACTATGCAAGTAGCCGGGTCTCTTCCAAAGGAAACGATCGAGACGCAGGCGAGAGGTGTTAATAGTCCTAAGTTAGGTCTGAAGTCTTGGGAAGCCACAAGAAGGACAATGTAGAAGTTTGAGGAATGAGGAGTAAAAATATTAAGCTGGTAAGATAAAAACAGAGTAGAAAAGAAGATGGGGGCCATGGTGGTCTCCTTCCAACAGCTTATGAGCAGCAGGGGACAAAAGCAGCAACCCAGGATGCAGTTTGCAGAGTCTTGTGGGTCCTGGGGAAGCTGTGCCTCAACCACCATTCAGTGCAGCACATGCTCAGGACAAAGCCACCAGGAGCCGGTCCTCAAAGAACTCCTTTATTTACTCTGAGAGTCCAGGCTCCCCATTCAAGTGGTCCTTTAAAAAAACACCCCCATGAATTTTAGCCCCAACAGAAGTTCCTATTCTGGAGAAACCCCAGACCTGGGGATGAGGGCTTTCTCAGCCTCACTCACATGTATTGCCCCGACCCCAGCCAAGGGAAAACCCTACTGCAATGCTAACGTCCCTGGAGTGGAGGGGTTAGGAATGGCAGAGTGGCAGAGGTGCCTTGGGGCCTGGGCCTTGTCACATTCAGCCTTGGGCCTGGTGCCTGGGTCCCTAGAATTCTTTTTTTGGCAAATCCTTGCCTGGTAGCAGAGGGCAGGAAGAGAGACTGCTCTACTAACAAAGGTCTGCCACAGAATCAGAGGATTAAGTTTACCCCACTGGGCCTGGTTGCCAAACTAGTCAACTGGGATTATGAGGCTGAATCTTGGGCTAGGCCCCAGGCCATGTGCTCCCTGCTCCTGGACTTAGTGGTTGTCTGGTGGGTGAGCCAGGCCTTAGGGGCATAGTGTTGGTAGGGGTCATGTGTCCAGAAGCATCAGCAGAGTACACACGGTATGACCCCATGGACCTAAAAGGATTTCCCTCCTTGCCTTCTCTCCTTGGGAAGCAGTCAGCTTCTGGGTATGACTGAGCAGGGAGATAAGGAGAGACAGCAGGGTGGTCCAAATGGTGTGACTACTGACCAGGCTGGGGAAAGGGAGTTATGCCCTTGGGCTGGGAGGTCTGGGTTACAGCTGGGGAGGGGCTTCCTCGAAGGTGATCAGGCTAGATTCAGGGGCAGCACCTTTCCCAGGGGGGTTGGGGCTTTTCTCAGGGAGCAGGGGGCTGTCCACCTTGCTCATGGCCTCATCATCTTCATCATCCATGCTAGGCCAGGCAGACTGGTCTTCTACTCGCTTCAAACGCTCATTTAGGGCCTTCAGGGCCAGTTGCCTGTGGGAAAAAAAGACATGGGACCATTACTGGGAGGGCCAGGCCTTGGCTGCATCAAAACCTCTGTGCTGGCTCCCAGAGCCCTCTTTCCTGAATCTGACTTCTTTTCCAAATGACCACAGCATATGCTGTCCATACCTCTGTTCATATCCCAACTATATTCCCCTTCCCCATGTCTCTACCTTCTGAAAATCATTAGCTCCCTTTCTAAGCAATCTTTCATTTTAGGTCAATCCAGTCAGTACTGAGTCTGTATATAGCCCAGTGTCCTGCTGGGTGCTGTGGATGGTAGGAAAAACATCTTGCCCTGATTTAGTGGGAAGAACCATGAAGTCTGGCCCTGTAGCATACTGCCTGGGTAACTCTGGGCAAGTCACAATGTCTCTGAGCTTGGTTTCTCCATTTGTAAAGTGAGGACAATACTTAATGCTAGCCCCATCAGGCTAGTGTGAGGATCAGATGAGATACATAAAAAGCACTTTCTAAAATACCAAGCACTGTACACTCTCAGCCTACTCTTTCTGTGTGCCTCTCCATCGGAGCCTTGATTAAAGAAGGCACTGCGGAGGCTCTAGCTTCTTGGCTTACAGAGCTGGGGGGCCGGGAGGGTCCCTTCAGGACGAGGTCCTTGAGGGCAGACGTGCTCTGAGCCCTGGGGGTAGTGAGGAGCGGTCCTTGGGATAAAATGAATGAGATGGCAACAAGAAAGCAAAGTTAGGATAGTGTCTTTGAGGAGTGGACACTTTGAAAGGGTTGACTGCTGACAGATGCAGCTGCAGGCTTTGAAGATCCCAAAGCACTCATACCATGTACATCTGATATCACTCAGGGGAAACCAACCCCACTCCAACTCTTGCCAGTGTCAACTGTCCCTCTGGCTACACCCAGAGCTTTGGTGCACCCATTCTGAGGCAGCTGCTGGCTGAGCCTCCTGTACCACTTCCACTAAGCTGCCTGCCCCTAGGCCCAGAGAGGGCAAAGAGTAAGGTCCTCTAAGTCCTGGGCATCAGTATAAAGTCCAAGGGGGAGTAGAACATAGAACCTCCTTTTCCTTTGTAGGGGAGGGACCACCTGGCAAAGCTGTGACAGGTGTTTTTTTCCTTCCAGTTGGGGGCTCGATTGTCTCAACCCACCCCCTTTGATGGCCTCAACACATAGCTTGATGGTGTTTCCTAAGGCTATAAAGAGCAGTTCAAGATTTTGGGGACAGGAAGGAGTCTTGGCATCCTTTGATGTGAGCTTTGTTATTTGCTATATGAACTTGGGCAAACCCTCTCTGGACCTTAGTTTCCATTTGAGGGAAGCAGGCTTCTTTGCCTGCCCCTCCTGTTATTTTCTACCCTTCCCTGGAGGTGATGATGGTCTCTAGTCAGTTACTGGATATTCTGAGCTTGGGGCAGAGGCACACTAACAACTGCTATTTCTAGTACTTTAAGATCGGTAAAACACTTTCCTTCCAACAGCTCTAAAACACAGGCAGTACAAGTGTTTTTATCGCTATTTTAGAAAGAGGGAACCTGGGGTTCAGGGCTTCTGGTAATTGCTGGTCCAGATTAGACTCCACAAAGCTCCACTACACCCTCCTTGTGAAGCATAGACCAGGGCCCAACTTGTCCTCTGTTGAGAGGCCTGCTTAAAGATTATCCTGAGAAGTGAATGAATGTGCCTGCACAGCTCCAGAGATTGGGGTCCATTAGGAAGTTCAGCTGTGTGGTGCTGGCAGGCTAGGCTAGCTAACTGATCTGTCGGGGGAGAGATCATCTGCACTTAATCTATCTCATGACCCCAGTGGCCTCCCTAGACCTGGTCTGGGCTGGTAGAAACCTGCTTAACCAGCAAGTGACAGCTGGAAAGTTGGACAGCAGGTACTAAAGACCACAGTGCTACCACCCTCATCTGCCTAGTTACCCTCTTCCTGTATGGGTTCTGTGAGCACATATGCCAAGCTTGTCCAGAAGTCACTGTCCCATTTCCCAGTTGGTAGTTTCAGTCTCTGAAGTTCCCAGCCAGAAAAGAACAAGTAATTGTTAGGTCTGTCTTTGCCACACAGCCTGAGAAGGAAAAAGCCAGTTTGTTCCCGGCCTCATCTGGGTGGGGACAGGAATGCTGAGAGGGGAAGACTGGTACTGGAAACTGGGTTTTAACTACCATTCTAGGAATATTTTCCTCAGGAGATGGTGTAGCTTTAGGCTTCAGGGAAGAGGTAAAAATGTTTCCTGGTCCTACCCCTAATGTCCAGGGGAGGTCAGGTCTGACCTCTGCTCTGGGTACATAGAAATGTTAGAACCAAGCCACACAACCCTCCCAATACAACTGAAATGAAGTTCGACTTTAAACGGAAAACAAAACCAACCTACTTAGTGAGGCTTCTCGCCAAGAAGCTGGTTTCATGTTTAAGCAAATGTTCTTTGGAGCAAACCAGAGTCCCGAGGACCTGGACTCCTGTCTCAGTTCTGACACTTCCTGGATAGGTGATCCTGACCAATGCATGTCTCTTCTGAATTTTAATTTCCTCCTCAGTCAAAGGAGGCTAGCTATACTGGCATTACCTGTTTCACAGAACTGGGAGATCAGTGAAAGTGTAGGAAAGTACTTTCTAAACCCCTATTTTAGGCCCCTGACCCCAGCTGATTGTTCCAAAGGGATCATCACCAAGTATGACGTTTGAAGGTGGGTGAGATAGGATGCTGATATAGTTCAGTGGAGTGCTTATTTGTCCTGGCTGAAGACGAATAATCTGGGGAAAAGGGAAGGCTATGATTTCACGTAAGTATGGATAACATAGCTGAAGCCTAGCTTCGTTTACAGGAAGTGAAACAGCAGTTTTCCCTGGGGAGGCAGAAACAGCTGATTTTATTCAATGGGTCTGTTGGTCTCCTAGGAAGCTCAGGGGAGAAATGAAGCAGCAAGCTTTACCTGCCAAGAGGGAGAGCTTTCTGGCAATACCCCAAGCTTTCAAGTCTACAGACATTTAATTTAGCTGAAAAACCTGAAGGCCTGAGCATTTGGATATGTAAGTGAACCCAAGATTGGAAAGAATCTGTCTAATTACAGCACAGTTTAGGGTTTTAGTGAGTCCTAGTCTTCATACAGGCCTTATATATCTGGTGCACTGACAGAAACTTCAGATTCACAAAGGGTCCTGAAGCTTCTGAGGACACCAAGTCAGCACAGTGGAATCAAGAGTTCTAGGTTCAGATGCTACCTCTGTGGCTTACTATCTACGTGACTTTAGGCAACTCCTGCTGAGCCCCTGGTAAAGCCAGAACAAGAACTTGGGTCTCCTTTCAGTAAGTCCTACATGCATAGAGAACCAGGATCTCACTGGGCAACTAAGTCAAGCCTGAGACCATTCTGGACAAGTGGTCATTCAGCTTCCTCCTTCCCTTCCTTCTGGACTCAACAAGGATCAAACTGTTTATAGCTTTCTCCACATTCCTGGCACCAAAAGAAAGAGGGCATGGTAGTTTCTATGTCGGAGCCTCAGCTCTGGGCAAAATGGCATGTAAAACTGGATGTTTAATGGAGGCTTAGAAATAGGAATGATGGGGATGAGTCCATAACTCTAAGTTCCTAGAAGGAGAAGCACTGGGTTCAGGTTCCTGAGGTTTCAGAGTAGGGCACAGGACCTGATAAGATGACACTCCGGAGTGTAAAGTGCACTGGATTTAGGAATGGGGAACCGTGGTTTGAATCCTGCCTGCCACTTTTGACCCTGGGCAAATAATGCAGCTTTAGACCAGAGTTTTTTCATCTGTAAAGAGAGGACTGGGTTGGATGATTTTTAAAGTTTCTTCCAGTTCTAAATCTATGACCCTATGAGCCTACCTTCTGCGCTCAGCATCCTGGGGGTCTGTGCCTGGGAGGCTAATGGTGATGGAAGAAGGAGCCCCCACATCATAGCGCTTCACAGTCTTTCTGCAGACCTTCACCTTCACGAGGAGGCTGTGCACCAAGTTTGCCACCAGGGCCACAACAGGCTGCAGGATTTCGGGGAAGAAGGTGGCAAAGGCAAAGTGGTCCGACATATCCCCCCTGCCCCGGCTGTGGCGCTGGTAGAATCGCAAGTACACCCAGCCTGAGAGCACCCCAAAGCCATAGGAGGCCAGGGCACTGCTTTCCACCAGAGGAGTGAGTCGCAGCAACACGAGGGAGATGAGCAGCAGCATGGGCACCACCCGCATCCGCACCTGGGGCACCTTCAGCACCACGCTGTCCCCCATGGTCTGTTTGAGGGCCACCAGGACCCCACCCAGGAAGCCGAGCACCCCGTGGATGCGCACGGTGAAGAGATAGGCCAGGTTGAAGGAAGCCATGTAGGTGAGGAGGTAGGCGAAGGCCCCCAGCAGCCCCACGGACACGTTCACCACGGCGAAGAACACGAGTAGCTCCAGGGCCCCCCAGAGCGGCTCCAGTAGCTGGCCGGCCGCCACCACCGTGGCCAGGCTCAGGGCCACGTCCCACACGTGCAGCTCCACCAGCCCGTGCGTAGCCAGGGTCCAGACCCAGAAGTTGGGCGGGAAGAGGTAGCCGGGGGTGACGGCCAGGCCCACGCCCGTGTCCAGCGCGAAGGACAGCAGGTAGAGGAGCAGCACCGAGGTGCACAGGGCCTTCACCACCACGCTGGCGCTGGCCAGGGCGGCGCCCAGGGGGAGGCGGGCCCCGGCCCCGAGCGCCAGCCCGGGACGCTGCGGCGGCTGCATCTTCCGGGGACTGCGGGCCGCGGCCGGGGGCCTGGCCTAGAGACGGGGCCGGGCCCCCGGGCCCGCTGGGGGCCCCGCGCGGGCCGGGCCGGCTCTGGCCTCAGGCCGCGGCCTCCCCCATCCGCCCCGGGTCGGTCCGCCCGCCCGCCGCCGGGGGGCGCCCTTCCCGTCTTCCTCCGCGGGGCCGGGGCTCAGCGCTGAGGACCCCCGAGGGGCCTGGGTATGGGCTGGAGGCCGAGTCCACCCCCGTCGCTGACACCGCCACCGGCTTCCCTTAGGTCGAGGCCTCCTCCGCCGCCACAGCCGCAGCCACCCCCGACTCCTCCGGGGCCGACAAACAGGGCACTGAGTCTGCGCAACGGGAGCGGGCCGCTTCGCGTCTTTCCTCCCCGAGGCACCACGGGACTTGTAGTCCGCGTCCTGGTGTGAGGCGCCGCGGACAGCGCCTGCGCCGGTTGGACCGCAAGCAAGGGGCATGTTGGGAGTTGTGGTTCTGGAGCGGGCAGGGAGGGGCGGGGAGAGAGAGGAGGTCAGGCTCGCTCTGAGATCAGCGGTTTCTCTGAGAACCTAAAGGAGACTTTGGGGCACCTGGAGGCCTGCCCTGGGGCTGAGACGGCACAAATGGCTGGGGGAGTCAGACCAAGTGGCATGGGGGGTGGGGGGTTGTCTGGAGCAAGTGGGCAGGGTGATGCGCACTTACCACCCACCTTGACCCAGGCTCGGCTCCTTAGGGGCCTCAGGGATGCAGAGGGCTTCCGAAGCCTGTCTCCGGCCTTCCGTGGGGAAGAGGGGACGGGGTTAATAATCGCCTGTTCTGTTCTGCTCCCTGCCCCTAGCCCAAGGATCGCCCGGCGCCCCAGGTCTCAAGGGAAGGGGCAAGACAGTGGGACGTCCAGCACTTGACAGCTAGGAAGCAGACGGTGGTAACTGGGGTCGGGAGGACCATCTTTGCGGCAAAGGGGCAGTAGAAGATTGTCTTTCCCCCAGATTTGCTGGGCACCAAGAACTTAGTTTGAAATTGAGATTTTTCCCATCAGACCAGCGACTCCATAAGAACATGTCTTTTCCATGTATTTTCAAGGGGCTCCTAAAAGTCAGGGCTGTCTCTTGATTCTCAGATCCAGAACAGGAGGATTTTGGAGTATTGCTTTTCCCATGACAGCCTTTTCCCTTCCCCCGTTCTCCCCTTATTCCCAGCCCCAGACTTTGGGAAGAAAGCCCTGCAAATTAGGGGTGTGGGTCAGGGTGAAGATGCTGGGATGGAAAGGGAACGATTTGAAGTGAAAATATGAACATTATTTAATAACTGATTTTTTTTTGTAATAAACCATTTGAAAATATTTTACAAGGAATCACACACACAATATTTTACAAAGTTTCTCATCTTTTTTGTCGCTTTTGTATCCGACTTGTCTGTACAAAAAAAAAACAAAAACCAAAACAAAACAACGAAGAAAAAAGGAAAAGGCCCCTGGCACCTTCTCTTCCCCACCCTCTCCCTTGGCCTGGTTGGGAGAGGGAGAAGCAGGAGAAAGGAGGCCTTGAGCCAGATGGGAGATGAGCTGAGTCAGACCCAGTTGCTGTTTGGACAACTACCTGGTGGCTTTTGTTTAGTTTTTTTCTGTTTTTAAACTTAAAATATATATATTATATATATTTATATTTCTGTATACGCCTTGGTTTCCTTGTTTTTTTTTTCTTTTTTTTCTTTTTTTAAATTCTCCAGTGAGCACCTGACTAAACTACAGAATTACACACTCCCAAGACACAGCTGGCAAGCGGGTGGGTGCCAGCATGGACCAACACACACTAAGAAAGCAACAAGCAACAGGACCATTAATTAATGAAGCATTAATTAATGAATCATCCCTTCCCCCCCTCCTTTCCACATCTTAGAGGAAACACCTCCCCCCCTCCCCCCTTGCTCTTTAGTGACCTGCCCCTCCCCACACTGGAGGATTTGGGGAATGGAATTGGAATGCACTGAACCTCCCAGCAACCTGCCCCAGGCCCTGCCTGACAGTGTCGGTGTGTGTGTGTAGGGGATGGGGTAGGGAGGGCATGGTGTCCAGCTCTGGGGACTGGGCATTTTGGCCTCAGTGTAGCTCACTAGGTGGTGGTGGGGGGAGCACCTGTTGAGGGTTTGGGGAAAATGTACACAGGTGCCAGGCTGTGGACTTGGGTGCAGAGTTGGGGGATTGGGATGGTCCCTTCAGTGTCTTCTTCTGCTGAAGTCACCCTTAGGAAGGCAGGGCCAGAGTGAGAAGGGGGATATGGAGCCTAAGGGTGAGGATTGCCTGCATGAATGGGGAGAGGGGGAGTGACACTGGTCAGAAGGTGCTCTTGAGGGCACAAATGGCATGGCACAGCAGCCAGGCAGAAGATGAGTGCTGTGTGGGTAGTATCCTACCTGCTCCTTTGCCCTGGTGTGGCCAGGGCACCTAGGCTGAGGTTTGGGGGGAGTCTGAAAATCTGCGTAGGGCTGGGGTGTGTGTGTGTGTGTGTGTGTGTGTGTGTGTGTGAATGCTTGCTTGGAGCAGGGGACTTATTGTCCACCTGACACTGGAAAATGATTGAGGGTGAAGTGTCTGCTAGTTGGGGGCAGGGGATGAAGCGGTTGGCCTTAGAGCGACTCACTGCCTGGTCCTGGCATTTGGCACAGTTTGACATTCAACTTTGGAGCCTGAGGGTGAGGACAAGGATTCAGACTCAGGACCCGAACTGGGTGCTGTAGGGCAAGGAAGAAGCTGAAGTAAGTGGGTATGAGTGCATTTCCTGGGGGGAGATTGGGGTTATGAGCAAGGACAGAGCAGGCAAATGCTCAGCCCCAGAGAGATGAAACCTGACAAAGCCTCCAGGTTGCAGCCACCCCCCATTACATAAGGCTCTGTGATTATCAGCCTACTGATGTATGTGTTTGTGTGTGTGCATCCCTTTGAACTCTAGAATGCTGTGATTCTGTAACATTTCTTTGTATGCATTTGTGTATATATATATATATTTCTATTTCTATCTGTGTTTGTGTGTCTATGTGTACATGTCTCTGTCAGGTTCCACTTGGACTAGGTGACCTCTGAGGTCTGAGATCTCTTCCAACTCTGACTGTGTGTGTATGTGTGTGTGTGCACATGCTCACTCTAGCCAGGCTCTAGGTTCAGTGGTCAGGGTTATCTTTGGAACCCAGAACTCCAATCAGAGAACCTGCCTGGTAGGGACTTAGGGGAGCTGGCAGGTCCCTTGGGTGGATCCCAACATCCACCCAGTTGGTAGGTGCATGCCTGGATCTGAACTTGGTCTTGGCTCTTCCTGTCTCTTGGGTGGCCTATGCAATGAGGTCCAGGAATGAGGACAAGACGTGTGTGTGTGTGTGTGTGTGTGTGTGTGTGTGTGTGTGTGTGTGTGTGTATGGGGAGATTGAGGGCTGAGCTCACATGGTGACTCTGGCCTGTGTCAAATATCTTCCTCAATCCCTTATCCCCCAGAGTTGAACCTCCTAGTCCCTGTTCCCTAGTCATTCTCTGGGGTATCTAGAATCTCAGAGGTAAGAGAAGGCTGGAAAACTGAGGCCATAGGAAACTTGTTCCCAACCTTCGTTAGAATCAGTGAGTCTGAGTGAACTTCAGGGGATGGGGAGTGAGAGTGGCAACTATGAAGGTTGATGCTTCTCCAAGCCCAGCCCAGCGTAGGCCAGCCCAGCCCAAGCCAGGCCAGCCCAGCCCAGACCAGGCCAGCCCAGCCCAGCCTAGGCCCAGGACAGTACATGCTTTTGGTAGCAGCATACACAGTGCCTGGAGTGAGAGTGGTAGTGGGGTGGCAGGTGTTGGGCTGGGGTGATCTTCTGACAGCAAAACAGTAAGACATGGCATTGGGGTCTCCGAGGCCTACGGGAAGACACATCCCAGGACCCGCAGTCCAGAGTATCCACTTTCCCACAGGTTGTGGGTGGTGGGTACAATAAGAAGGGAAGGGTGGCGAAGGTGAAAGGGCTGGGGCTCCAGGGGGTGGGGTTCAGAGGTGGTGAGGCCAGGGCAGGGGCAGAGGCAGGGGCGACAGGCCCAGAAGGAGCAGCAGCTGCAGGGATGCCAGGATGCCCAGGGATGCTCTGAAGGAGGCTCCTCGACCACAGTCTGAGGTATCTTCCTGTAGGCACACAGATGGTCAGGGAGTTGGGGGTGGTCTGGGGAGCAGGGACAGCCACACTTCTGGAAGTCTGTGTCTCTCAGGTTCCTCACTCCCCTTTCCTGTCCCTCTCTCTCATCTCCCATTTTCACTCCCTGGGCACCTTCTACCATGCTTGCCTCACTCTTCTGTTTTGCTGCTTACCGTTGCATTGTAGTCAAAGCAGATGTGAGGTCCTTTCCTATATCGTGGCTTCTGTACCAGCTCACACTGCTCCGGCCCATCAGCTGGGCATGGGGGAGGCGAGTCAAGGAAGCCAGTGACACAGAAAAGCTCTGTGTGTGTGTGTGTGTGTGTGTGTGTGTGTGTGTGTGTGACACTCATGCATTCACGCACATAGGTGGGGGTGGGGATGCCCAGTCTCTGGGCTGAGCTGGCAAGGAGCCTGGATCTTGGTCAGACTTGCCAGACCTAAAGCTTAAATTGGGGAGGGGCTGGGGAGGGAAGCCTGTATGCATCAGGATACAGCGCCTCTCTGCTTGTAGCAGTTTGCCAGATTCACACTGGCTGCACAGGGGCTTCTCCGCCACTACAAAGAGCAGGTTGGTGTTGGCCAATCTCTGGGCGTGGAACAGCCTGCACGGGATCAAAGGCAGGGATGAGTGGGGGACAGCGTTACTAGAAACACTCCTCTATTTTCCCCTCCCTGCCCCAAACCAAGCCCTGGGCTCCTGCATCCACACTAGCCAGGGGGCCTTGGCCCGGGGGAAATGTGCCAGCATGAGGCCCTGCTTGTGGAGGCTTCTTCCAGCATCTTTCCCCAGCTTCTCTCCCCTCCTCCCCAGCTACCCATGCAGACCTGGAGCAGTTCCCGCAGTCTATGATGCTGTTGTAGGAGGCATTGGTGGTGCTGAAGTAATACTGGGTCTGTTTCATGATGCAGCTGGTCTCCCTGGTCTCCGAGCCCTCAGCTGCTGCATCTTCTGCTTGGAGGTTGGGGAGTGAGTCCCTCTGGCCCTTTGTCTCCTCCCCAGCCCCTCCAATACCCTTCAGATCCCAACTCTGTCCTTTGGGCTCCCTAACTGGGTCCCATCCACCTGTGGCCCCTGGCCTAGGCCACATTGTTGAGGGGGCCCATATCCCCTGACTAGTCTCCTAAAATATTCCCCAGGGGTAAATAATTGTCTGGACAAAGAGAAAGGACTAGGTGGTAATGATGATTAGAATTTCTGAAATCCTTGGCAAGGGGGATGCTGCCAGCAGAATGGGATTCCCTGAGGGAATCTAGTGATAACAATACCTCCACCCTCCACCCCTGCCCCCACCCCCACCTACAAAGTGCATTCCTCACAATGACCCAGTAAGGAACAGGTAGTGCAAGTATTATTGTACACATTTTACAGAAAAGGAAACTGAGGCTCTGGGGAGAGAAGAAGCCCATAGTCACATACTAGGATTTAGGATCTGAAGCCCAATGCTTACTCCTTCAATCTCCTCCAACTGGGATAAACAAGTTTTTCTCTGGGGAGTTGTTTCCCTGCCTTCTCCTTCCCTGTGTCCCTTCTCTCCTCTCCCCCCCAAGTCCTCAATCCCCAACCAGGCATCTGTGTTGGGACTAGGCTTATTTTCTAGCAATGAAAATAAATGCAGGACATCCCAAAATGTCTTTTATAGCTTAAACTATTAAGCAATGATAACAACAGCTTAAATAAGCCTGAAGAGCTGAGAGCTGCACAAAGACTTTTGGGACACCCTGTATTTGTATCAGAACTCTGGAAGGGGTATGGAACAGTGAGCTTTTCAGGTCTGAACGTTTCCAAGTTTGACTTGAAGCTCTGTTCTGCTTCCTTTCTTCTACAAATCCTTTCCTTAACACTCCCTACTTCTCAAAATTCATTCCTTTGGCTGTCTCTGGATGGCGACTGTAACGAGCGGGGATTATCTGGAGATCCTATAGCCTCATATTGTCTCCCATCCCAAACTCAGGCAACCTCAGAAATAAAATCATAGAGACAGAAGGAGCTAGGGAGCCGTTTAGGACTAGCTCACTCCCACCTAGTGCACGTATCTCTTCTTTAAGGTTTCATGTAGTGGCTGGGCAGGTGGTTGTCCAGACGCTATATGAAAACTCCCAGAGATAGGGAGCTCCCGATGAAGGCAGTTTGTCTGTCTGTCCCATTGTTAGATAATTCTAGACATTAATTAGAATGGTCTTCCCGATGTTAAGCCAAAATCTAATTCTGCCCTCCTGAGGCCAAGCAGAAAAAAGGCTAAGCCTTCTTCCAAATGCTTCTTAAAGACAGGAGTTGTATGCTTCCCGTCTTCCCTAGGTCAAACATCCCCAGCCCCTTTCCCACCCCTTTGTTCACATGGCACAGTACCTGCTTGGAACCAGCTATGATAGGTGAGTCCATAGAGAAGCTGCTGGAGCAATGACCTGTGGAAGATGGGGCACAATGGGAATTAGGTTGAGATTTGGGGTTGTACCTGTCTAGGTGCCCTGCTCAGATCCTGCCCACTGCTCCCATCCTGTGCCTCCCTGGGGAGCCAAGCTTCATTCCCTTAACAGTAAAATGGAAGTTGCCCCATCCTTGGTCCAGAGGCTCACCAGGCTGCTGCTGAAGTCCACCAGGCCAGGTTGAGGAAGTCAGCGATGGTAGGCTAGAGAGAGGAGGATAAGCTCCCACAACTGGTTCCCCCTAGGGACCCTTCCTCTTGAACTCAGCCCCTTCTCCCCAGGAACTTCTGTTGCTCTCTCCAGACCCCCAACATTGGCTCCCAGGCTAGCTCTGCCCAAAGCAGAGGCCCAAACCCTGCCAAGACCAGTAAGGGGATTCTCGAGCCTGGGGACCCTTCCTTCAACCCCGGGAGAAGCCAAGACAGAGCTCCTGGACTGTAGATCTCTTGGGGGCCAACGGGGTAAGAGTTTCTCACGTACTATGAAGACACCTCTGGGAGCAGCGCCTGTGTTGCTCTGGGCCCGGGGGGTGCATACAGCCTGGTAGTCAAAGGACTCTTTGTGAGTGTAGAAGGAGTTATTGTAAAGTGCTAACATGAGGTTGGCATCCACTTCGCTGAAGAACTTCCCCACCTACAAGATGAAGGAGGCTTTCCTAGGTATAGAGCAGGATGAGAGGTCTAGGACACTCATTTGTGGCTTGGCTTCAGGAACCTCGGAGAGTAAGGGGCAGTGTACTCCGGGCCACTCTTCCCATCTCAGCCTTGCTTGCTCACCTGGTCCCACTGATTGTACTGGTTGGAGAGTACCAAGAACCCACCGTCATCAATGAGAACACAGAGTAGATCCTGAAAGAGGGAGGAGGTAGTGAGTTGTGATCAACCCTTCCCTGGGAACCAGGGTGTGTGTGTGGGGTTGAGCATCTTCCTAGCACCCCGTGGGGTGAAAGCTGCCCCTTTCTACCCATGACTTGGTCAGGTTCTCTACTCAGAGGAAGACCAGAAGGTGGAAAGGAAAGAGCACCCAATGAGCAATTCTGGGATTGTTTGAATTCTGGTTCAGTTCCTACCAGTGTGGACCTGAGTAATTCACTTCCTCCCTCTGGGTCTCAGTTTCTTGCTCTCAATCTTAGGATCCTATGATGCTTTTCTGGGATAGAGTAAGGAGAGGAGAGAGAAGGGGTGGGCTGGGGAGGAAGGAGTTTTAGGACTGCCACCTACCTCATTGTTCACATCACAGTCCATCTCACAGTGGCTGTTGGGGCCACACTGTTTGGAGAGAAACCAACGGTTGCTTCAGGGCAGGCATGGGGGCTAGCAGAGAGAAAGAGTTTCTTTCCCCTTTGGCTCAGCATCTCACAGAAGGGACTTCCTCCTTCCTTTCTCCATATTCTCCCTCTCCCACAGACTGGCATCTTCACAGACTATATGCTGGGGTTGTGTGGTTCTTTAGGTCAACAGAAGCAATGCCCTATCTCTCTGTCTGGGGTATGATGGATTCTGAATAAAGAGTTTCCAGGATTGGGAAGCTTGGGCTTTCTCAAGGGAAAAAGAGTAGCTGAGACCTGAGATCCTGGGTCTGGAGAATAATTCTGCTGATTGGGGCAGGGAAGGGAACTCTCAGAGCCTGCCCCTCAGTTAGAATCTCTGGTGCTTCTCCCCTACCTTCTGTGGCTGGTCTCGGTCTGTTCGGTTACTGGCTAACACCTTGAACTTCTCAGCCCAGGCTTCCAGGTCCAACTTCACTCCCACCACTGTGGGGGAAGAGGGTGCTGCTCAGGGGCCAGGGCCCTCCTTGGGTCCCTTTTAGGTGTCTCTTCTTAATTTTGATCCCTTCCTCTGCCCCACTCCCCAGTGGCTGTGCCTTTTACCTTCAGGCTTCAGCATCAGCATTCTTTAGTGTGAACTGCACACCCTGGTTAGGTCCCCTGAGGACACATCCCTAACCTCTTCCTTCAGGGGAACTACCCCAGATCCCTTTCCTGCAAGGGCTGTATCCCTTCCTTACCTGCAGGTTTTAATGTCCTTCCCCCAAGTGTGAGTTCCACAGCTGTGCTCACCAGGATGCCCACGGTGTTGTTCTCCAGCTCTAGTGGTCTAAGGAGAGCTGAGGAGGGAGGGGATGGGTGTGGAAGGAGAGGAGAAAAAACCCAACGGTCTGAAGGAGCCCTCGTGCCTGGGAGGGGCAGAATGCCTAAAGCCAGCATTCAGCTCTCGTCTTTGCTAGACTTGCCTACCCACTTTGGGAGCTTCTCAAAGGTCCCAAGTCCTCTCCTCTTCCTATAGTTTGGCATTCACATTTGTCATAGTGGTAGGTTGGGGAGGGCAAGGCAGAGGAGAGGCATTGCAGGCTCAGGCTAGTGGGGGGAGAAGCCCTAGTGTCCCGCGGAGATTTTAAAGGGCAGGCTACTATTGAGTCCAGAGAGAGCAATTTTTGAGGATTCTTACTCAGGCTTTTGCATGTTTCTTGGAGGACCTAAATGTCCTTTTCCCACTTACTCTGTAAGTCTCCATGCACCCTTCTCATTCCATTCCCTGGCACATGGAAGACAGGGGAACTATGACTTGGGAGCCCCTTGCCTGGTTGAGGAGTGCCTGGACACAATGGGCCAGGGCTTAGGAGCCTTTGTTAGGCTCACTTACAATCATGATACGGAGGTTTGAAGATGTAGCCCTGGTTGTCCAGGCTGCGCCGGTAGAAGCTGGCATTGAAGGGTTCAGGGTTCTCATCCCAGTCCTCAGCTGCCCTAGAGACCCAAAGTGTTACAGAGGGACACAGGAGGAGGGCATAGAGCCTGGGATGGGCAAGAGAATTTTGGGAAGTCTGGGAGAGGGCTGTAAGCAGGAAGGCAGCAAGGGTCTTGGGGGAGCTGAGACTGGGTCTCAGAAGACAGGAGAGGGGCTGCTGTGGAGTACTAAGCCTGTTCTGCGAAGCTTATTACAGGCACTACATTAGTATCTGATTTTGGAATTCAGGGCACAGAATTGGAATGTGGGGATCAGGGTGAGGGCAAGCCTTGAGTTGACTCACTTGTTGGGGAAAACCCGGGTGATGCCCCCATCAGTAGCAGCAAACACAGCAAGGAGGCTGTACCTGAGGGTGGAACAGGGTCAGCATAAAGGGAAGCAGTTCTGGGATTGCCTGCATTGACTTCTGGGGTACAGGGCAAAGGCCTCGAAACCACAGACTGCAGGAGAGTATGTCTGCCGCTGTCCCTGGGGTTGGGTGCTTACCCTGTGCAGAACACCCTCCCATCTGCCCTGCTCCTGGGGCTATGACCTGGCCATTGTGGTACCCTCCTCCTAACTTTTAGAGGGGGTATCCCATCAGGGGCCCAAGCTGGGGGTCTGGTGGCAGTGGTGAGGAAAGTCTAGCCTAGTTCCCGGAGCAGGGAGGGGCAGTGCCTACGTGTTGAGGTCCTGGTCCTTCCACACCTTCTCCACCAGTTGCTGTGTGATGCCAGTGTCCAGAATCAGGTTGTGCAGAAGGAAGTTGTTACCTTCAGAGTTAGGTGGGGAGGGGAGAAGGGAAAGGCCTGGTTTCCTCCATTCACCATGCTGCAGCCCCTCTCCCACCCCATGCCTCTTATTGCTGCCCATGTCCTTCCCTCCTTTCTGCTAAGCCTAGTCAGGGGCCACTGAAAAGGGACTTCAAAGCCCCTTCATCCAGAGGATGTTCTGAATCCTCACATCCTTTTTACCCCATTCCTGCTACTGGTTCTCTGACCTCCGTGTGCTCGGGGGCTCAGGATGAATTAGACTTATCTGTTGTTGTTGTTGTACATTACTATGTAACATATAATAGATAATGCTTTTTATGTATCCTGTCTCCCTATGGTTGTCTCTCCCTCAGACTAGGGACTCCCTTAGGTTAGGAGCTGTCTCCTCAGACAAGGGGCTCTCCTAGGATGGGACAGTTGTCTTGGACTGGGAGTTCTGCAGGACAGGGGCTGCATCTTTCTTTCAGACTAGGGAGCTCCTTGCGGGTAGGGTCCTGTCTTCACCTAAGGCATGCCTCTTCTTTCTCCATTGTTGTTTCTTATTCTCTTTGGCTCCTTTATCACAGAGGCACCTGTCCTTTATCCCTCCTGTTTCTCATCCTCTCTTTCTTTTCTGATCATGGCACCCCTCCCATAGCCTGAGTTCTGGCCTTGCTGCATAGGGATTGGAGTAGATTCAACTTAGGGCCAGGCTGTATAGGGCACTCACACTGCTTGGAGTCTGGAGTCACCTTCTCCATGAGCTCAATAAAGTTCTTGAGAAATTCCGTGTTGTTGTCCGAGGCGTTCAGGTCCTTGCAGTACTCTCTGGGAGGGGGAGGGGGAGAGGGGGCAGGGGGACCAGTGGGTGACCCCACAATGGATGGGCCCGCTCACTGTGTGTGCTGTGCTCTCACCCAGGTTGAAGACATGAGTTTGCATTAAGGGGGACTCTGTGTGCATATATGGGAAGCTCTGTGTTTCAATAGTTATGTATGATACATGGGTGTATTTCTGTATACATATGGCTTACATGGTTGTCTTTTTGTGTATATGTCCCAGTACCCTTGGCATGTGATTGAACACATGTTTTCTTTTTAATTGCAATTTTAATGTGAGCCTTACTGCTACCCATTGCAGACCATAAGTTTTCAGGGAGCTCCTTTCCTCTTCTATCTCTTCCAGATTGTGAGCCTCCCTGAGGGCAGGTCCTGGGACTGACTGCGCCTTCTCTGTCTCTCCCTCTACACTGAACACAGGATTTGATAGACAGGGGGCTCAGGAAAATAGCTAGCATTTCTATAGCCCTTTAAGGTTTGCAAAAACACTTTGCAAATGTGATCTCATTTGGTTCCTCATAACAATGCTGTGAAGTAGATGCTATTTTGAGCCCACATTACAGAGGAATAAACTGAGGCTCAAAGAGGTTAAATGACTTACCAGGGTCATACAGCTAGTGTCTGAAGCATGATTTGAACTCTGGCTTCCTGACTCCAAGTCTATGCCTCCAGCTTCTATTTCTCCTAGCCTCTTAAGGAAAAACTTATTGGTTGATTGATTCATGAGTTAGGGTTATAGTATTATAGGATCCTAGATTCAGATGGAAGGGACCTTAGAGGTCAAGTCTAATTCCCTCATATGATATTGGTCTTAGCATGTTTATATCTTTGAGTATAATAGTGATAATAATAATATGTGTTTGCAAATTACTTTACATACATTACTTGGTCTGCCCCTCACAATGCTAGGTATTATTATTAGCTTCATTATACAGACTAGGAAACAATGATTTGCCTGAGAGTTATCCAGCTAATCGGTGTCAGAGTTGGGAACAAACCAAGGTTTTCCTCACTCCAAATATAGTACTCTATAGTACTTTTTTTCTTACAATGCACTGCTCTCTGCCCATTCATATATGTGAGTTTGCAGTGTGACTATGAGTAAAAGAATAGGTAAGCTTCCCTCTGGTCAGATGAGGGAATGTGTAATCTTCAGAACTATCTGCTATAAAGGCATCTGTGCCAGCACATTCCCAGGCATGAAGTGTGTGGAAGGGTACTATTATGGATCTCTAGTACAGGTGGGGGTGTGAGTGTGTGTGTAGACAATCCTGTAGGCAACTTAGAGCATCTCCAGCAGACACACGGGCCACCTAGGCAAGGGATGCCAGAGATGGGTGTCACTTTTTTGTACCACAACATACAGTCCTCCATGTGTGACACTACCCTCTATTCTTAAATCCCTTACCCTCTTGTGGTAACACCAGCCAAGCCTTGACAAACTCAAACCCTGGATTACCTCCATTATCTGTTTTCCCTGCTCCTACCTACTTGCTGTTGGATACTGCTAAAAAATGTTATGTGACCATATAACTGGGTTCAGTATAAATTTGTTATCTAATGTCAACTGGATTCTCTCTGATGCATGGCAGTCCTTTTATTATTTCCCAACTGACTATCATGTTCTCCTCAACAACTATTCTAAACTTCTTCTTTCCTCCTTCCCCCTTTCTTTCAGCAGAGAAACTTGCCTCCTACTTTGCTGAAAACAAAGCTAAAACCATAAAAAACAAGAGGTCAATTGTCAAGAGCCCTCTCTTCTTCCTTATTCCATGCTCCAAAATCCCTCTTCGTTATCCCCTGTTCTCCTATCCTTTACTTTAGTCTCAGATGAAGGGGTGGCCCTTCTCTTTGCCAATGTCAACATCTCCATTTAAGCCACAACTAGAAACCTTTTCAACTATGGTAATAAATAGTTGAAGGTGGGGTGGTGAGGAGCATGACATTTGGGGATTCGGAAGACAGTTTAGCCATTGGTACAATCAGAGGGAAAAGGGCAGGGTTGAGAGGGAATAAAGCCCCTGGAAGAGGTGTGGCATGGCAAGAGGACCAGGGTGGTAGTCTGAGTTGACAGAAGACCTTGAGGTGAGATGTGAGGGGACAATGGTTTCCAGAGAAAGGATACCTGGCTCTCCTCTCACCACACACACACACACACACACACACAGCCCATGTTGGTGGCCTGGGACAAAGTCCTATTTTCCCCATGCTAATTAAGGTTCTGCCTCCATTTGTGCCCTTCCACCTCCTCTGATAGCCTACTCTCTCAATCACCTCTATTTCAATCACTATTCTATTTCTCCATATTCACTGGCCCCATCACTTCTGCCTTCAAACGTGCCCATGTTTTCCCCATCCTTAAAAAATTCTCCACTTGGCCCTGTCACTCCTTCAGGTTATTGTCCTAGACCTCTTCTCCTAAATTTTACAGCTGAAGTTTTAGAAAATGTCCAAATTTGTTGCTTCCACTTCCTTGCTCCCATTCACTTCTCAATCATTTGACATCTGGCTTCTACTCCATCACTCATCTGCAACTGCTCTCTTTAAAGTTGCTAATGAGTTCAACACTAAATCCAATGGCTTTTTCTTGGTCCTTATTCTACTTTAGCTGTTGACATGGTCAGCCACCCCCTCCTCCCAGACACTTTCTTCATTCTTGGCTCCTGTGACACTGCTCTCTCCTGATCCTCCTCCTACTTGTCTGACCACTCTTCAGTCTCTTTTGCTGGATCATTGTCCTTCTTCTAAGTGTAGAAGTCTTTAAAGGCTCTATCCTAGATCCTCTTGTCTTCCCTATACTTTTTTTTGACAGTGTTGTCTGTGCCTATTGGTTCAATTATCCGTATACTGAAGAATCCTAAATCCATCCATATATCTGACTCTTATGTCCTTCTGTAGCTCTAGGTCATAATCACCAACTGCTTACTGCATATATCCTACTGGGATGGTCCTTAGGCATCTCAAACTCAACACATTCCAAATGGAACTCATTATTCCTCCCCTCTCCTCCTATTTCTGAAGAGGGTACTTCTAGTCACCCAGATTTAAAATTTGAGTCATCCTCCACTCTGCATCATCATTCACCCTCTATAACCAATCAGTTACTAAATCTTGTTAATTCTACCTCCAGAACATCTCTTACACCCATGCCCTCCTCTTTACCCACAGAGCCTTTCCACTAGCTCAGGCCCTCATTATGTCATTCCTGGACTATTGCAATCACCTCCTAATTGATCCTTCTGCTTCCACCTTCTCCTCTATTCTCCATGTTGCTAGCAAGTTGATGTTCCTAAGGTATAAAATAGATCTGACCACGGTCACTCCCTTCCTCAAACATCTTTAGTAGACTCCCTATTGCTGTCTCTAGGATGAAATAGAAAACCCTTAACCTGGAATTTGAAGCTCTCTGCAGTGTGATCCCAACTTACCTTTCCACTCTTTTCATACTCCTCTTCATACAGTCTTTGTTCCAGTCAAACTGGTTGGTTTGCTCTTTTTCAAAGACATTGAACCTGTTCCTTCCATATCTTTGCACAGGCAGTGCCCTTCCCCCATGAGCTCTTTCACCTCAGTCTTATAATTTGTAGCTGTTTTTGACGGATAGGTCAGATGTCGATACCTTCACAAACCCCTTACTGATCTCATAGCAGCTTGCTACTTCTCCCTTCTTTAAATGACTTCGTTTTATATTTATTCATATGTGTACATGCCATATCTTTCTAGTAGAATGTAAGCTTCTTGAGGACAGACACTGTTCCATTTTTCTCTAATGCCTGGCACAACATCTAGTACTTAGTAGATATTTAATATTTGTCACCCAGGACCAAATTGTTTAGACAATTATGGCTCTATAGTACCACTTGAGATACGGTACTCTCAGGCTCCGCTCAATACTATACTTTTCATTTTCCTTTGATATTCTTGATCTTTCATTCTTTCAGATGAATTTTGTTATTAGTTTTCTAGCTCCATAAAGTAATCTTTTGTTAGTTTGGTTGGTATGGCACTGAATAAGTAAATTAATTTAGGTAGTGTTGTCATCTTTACTATATTAGCTCAGCCAACTCGTAAGCAATTGATATTTCTTCAATTATCTGGGTCTGTTTCTTATTTGTGTAACATGTGTTTATGTTCATATAGTTCCTGTGTGTGTGCTGGCAGGTAGACTCCTAAGTATTTTATACTGTCTGTAGTGATTTTAAATGGAATAGCTCTTTCTATCTCTTCCTGCTGGATTTGGTTGGTAATATATAGGAATGCTGATTTGTACACACAACTTTGCTGAAGTTGTTAATTGTTTCAATTAATTTTTTAGCTGACTTTCCAAGGTTCTCTCTAAGTAAACCATCACACCATCTGCAAAAAGTGATAATTTTGTTTCCTCTTTGCCTATGCTCATTCCTCTAATTTCTCTCTTTTTTTCAATCTTCTGATGTTTAATGATTGTTGACTTGAATTGGCCAGGAATAGGGTTCAATGTGTGGACATGGTCAGGATTAGGGTTCAGTCTATGGTGAATTTGTGGCTGGGTCAGGGTTGACTCTGGTCAGAGTTAAAATTCAGTTTAGGGTTGACTTTAATGCTCAATGTGGATCTACCTGTGACCAGGGTTAGTGGTCAGCTTAATGTCAACCTGTGACCAGGCCTAGAGCTTAGTGGGTTAGAGTTCAGTTCGGGCCTGAGTTTAGGGTTAAATGTGGGGCCAGAATTAGTGTTCAGCCTGTAAACAGGGTAAGGGCTCTGACTTTCAAGTAGGGATTCATTCTTTGTATCTGTATTACCAAGTCCTAGCATAGTGTTTGACACATAGTAGGTGCTTAATAAATGCATAGTAGACATGAATAGGCTGAGTGCTTTGGTATGTAGCCACTACCTTGTGTGGGGGGTCACTCAAGAGAGGCAGTCTCCATCTAGGATGCTATTGGTAGCCTACCACCTGCCCTAATTGCCCAGAGTTTCTTTGCTTCCAAGTTGCAGGGTACAGAGATCTCGTTTTGTTTACCCTAGCCTTAGGCTCAGTCACCATTGGCCGGGTGGGTGTCCTGGAAATTGGCATTCATACTTCTGCTTGTGTTTGAGAAGCTAGGGTTAGGTCTAAGAGCACTGCAGAGACTATGTAGGTCCTAGAATGTCAGGGAAGGTGGGGTCTTGTCCAGGGAGGTGCATTTAGGGTTAGGGTAGAGTCATGGGAGAAAGGGATAGGGGGATAGCCCCTGAGTTACATTTCCCACAGGAACCAGGAATGACATCAGCAGTCATATCCCCTGAACCAAGGGGCAAACCCAGGTTTTTCATGTCCCCACCCCCAGCCTAGAGGCCCCTTCCAGCCTCTTCCCCTCCCCCTGTTAATCCACCTTTCCTCCCCCCAGCCACCTTTTGGAAGCACTGACACACTCTGACCCAGGTAACACCCATAATATCCGTCTTTGAGCTTCCTTGTGTCCCTTCCTGGAACAGGAGAGCTTCTATTGCCCTTATATGTGTGTATGACCCTGAATTCCCCAGCCCTGACCTAGAAACTCAGCATGTTCTAGGTATCAGGCCAGGTCATGTTCTCGTGAAAGGCCTCACCATTACCTTCCACCTGGGCAGGTCCATAAAAGGGCTTTCAGGCTAGGGGACCCCTTTATCTGGGGCTGGGATGTATGTATGTGTTCATGTCATGGTCCTGGTCCTTGTCCCAGTCTTCTTTATTGTGCCTTCCCTCCAATTGTGTGAGGTGAGGCCAGATGGCTCTACTTACCCAGAGCAGATGATACAAAGACCCAGTGGCCCCAGTCCCCTGACCCACCCTACCATTGCTCCAGTGTTCACAGGGTATTGCCTAAACTGAGCTGGGGATGGTATTGGGGGAGGTGCTCTTGGAGAGAGGGCAGGGTGCTGCCCCTTTGGTCCCATTCAGCAACAGTAGGGATGCCTGCTAGGTGTGGTCCCCAGCCCCAGGTGCAAGCAAGGCAGAGGGGGCACCACTAAGGGTAGTGTTTTTCCCATCTCTAGGGAATTCTTTGATCCCTTTGCCCCCCTCCACCAACAAAGACACTGACACAGGGGAGACAAGGTGGTGAGGGGTAGGGAGAGGAATCTCAGACCACAGAGCAGCAGATGCCCACAGGAGGGCTGTATGAGTAGGGAGACCCTGCCTTGGCCTGACATTGGAAGCACTAGGGAAGCCCAGGTGCAGGTTGAAATTACTTTGGCACCCGGGTAAAAAGGGCCCAGAGTCTTGTAAAAGCTGGACTGGAGTAAGGGCTGGGGATGGAAAAAACCCTGGGGGTAGAGTTGAGGGCATATTGGAGTTACAGCTGGGAGAATTTCCAAGGTGGGAGTAAGAGGTGGCGTCAGTGGGAGTGGGGAGGGACTAGCAGAAGCTGGAATTTGAAAACCCCAAAGTATAGAGTTGAAAGGGACTCTGGGGATAGAGCTGAGGAGGATTTCTGAAGCAGAAGACACAGGGGCATTACTTCAGAACATAGAATTGGGAAAGTCACTTGTGGAATCTGGGAGAGCCATGCAGTACAGAATTTGGGGAGCTATATGGGGGATGCACCTGGGGAGACTTGGGGTCAGAGTTAGGAGGACTTGCTGAATGGAGGTGAATATAGTGGAAGACAGGGACAGCTGGGGCAACTTGGTTCTCAGCTGTTGGCCTTAGGGGCCTGGGGGCACCTTGGTCTGCTGCTTGGTGGGGCCGGATACACCGTCCGGATACATGGCCCTAGTATGTAGACCTGCCGATACTGGCAGCCACACATATGGGGCTCATGTATGTGATGGGGCAAAGAATGGGTATGGGCATGAAAGAGAGGCTTCAGGAAGGCAGCATCTCCGTGGGATTCCCCAGGGAGAACCTGATAGGGGACAGGGAGACATCAGCACACAACACAGACACAGAGAGATCAGAAGTGGCAGTGCGGGCAGAGGAGAGGTAGGGATGAAATATGGGGCATGGAAGGAGATAGGGGGGTCTCAAGATTGCTGTGGGGATGGAAGGAGGAAGGGAGAAAAGGACAAACAGACAGAAGGAAGGAGAGAAGGATGGACGGACACCTCGGCAAGCTCACACGCAAAGCTACCTGGGAGCAATGAAAACATGTCCTTCAGATTCAAAGCTGTTTGGGAGCAGGAACTCAAAATCTGCAACAGAAAGGGAGGGTTATCCGGCGGGGGGCTGGGGGAAGGTGGGAGGCCTGGGGGCTCAGAGCAGGGGCTCAGGCTCAGGCTCAGGCTCAGAAAGGAAAGGGAAGGATGGACAAGGGAGGTAGAGGAGAGTAGCAGGAGGGAGGGGAGAGATACCAGCAAAAAAAGAGAGTCCCCACACTGACACTTTCATTGTGGGGTAGTGGGAGAAGAGGAAGGGGTGGGGGTGGTCCCTTTGGAAACTGCAGCATCGCAAGAGAAGGGAAGTTATAGCCAATATGTTGCCCAGGTCTGGGTGGACTGGTTTGTCCTCACATGTGCAATGGAGTCCATTGGCTTGGCTGTATATGTCTCCATACCACTGTATATCACATATACACAGATACACACACACACACATACACACACATATATATACACACACAGCTATATATATGCATGGTCTGGGCGAATGTGCTGGTCTCTCTCATTGCATCCATAAAGGAAAAGAACCACATGCATTGTTTAGCTCAGAAGGAACTTTGCGGAAACCTACTGATTTGGGGATCCGCAGATTTTTGCCTTTGGTTGTTCTTGGTTTTTTTCCTTTAAAAATTTTTTTGGCTCTATTTTCAGGCATCAACATGGCCAAACTGAGGGGATCTTTCATGGAGACAGACAGTCCAACCAGAGACGTGTCTGTGGCATGGTGGGGCTGCAGTGCATTGTGGTATTCTAGGGGTACGCTCGAGACCTAGAAATTTCTCTCTTGGCCAGGGCAGTAATGGAGAAGGAACCCTTTTATCCCTGTCTGTAGGACCCGGAAGAGGATGTGATGGGTAAGGAGAAGGTGTAATTTGGTCTAGATGGGGTCAGTCAGATCTGGAACACAGATGTCAGAGCCCCGATTCCAGCCTGCCTTGGAACTGCTGGATCCTGGTTTCCCTTAGTCTGATGGGGGTAAGGTGGGGTGGGATGGATTAGATTAGGAAAGGTTGAAGGGAAAGATTTGAAGTTGAGGAGACTGTTCAAAATGTAAGAAGATGTACTCTAACGTGTGCCTTCTTGGTGCTAGAAGTGTCTGGGAGGCAGAAAAGAAGGAAACGTATTGGGTGTTTTTGACTCGCACTAGAGGATGGGATGGAAATGGGCTGGGGTGAGGTAGGAGGGTGATGTCTGACCAGTCATGTGTTATCTAGAACTTAGGAGGCCTAGGGAGGCATGTTGGGAGTGGGGCCCTGATCCAAAAAGCATGTAGCTTAGGTAGACAGATTGGGGTCTTCCCTGAGGGGAGTTGACTCACCCAGGTACATACATTAAGTGCCAAGGCTGGAATGGGAATCCAGTCCTGCTGATTCTAACTCGAGTGCCCTCTCTGCTCTATAATTCCACCTCTCCATGTGCCCTCCTGGGGAGTGGCTATATCGTCCATGGCATCCAGGGGAGCAATCTTCTAGTCAGGCCTTTGGGATTTCTCACTCACCCAACAAGAGAAGCCAGTCCCTTACTTTATTCACAGGAAATGATCCCCCTTTGTTCACCTCTCCTATCTTCTCCCTCTTTTGGTCAAGGGTTTCTCTTCCTCAGGCCCCCTCCCCATGCATTGCCCAGGCTACCCACATCTTCCCACAATGCACTGCAAAACAGAAAGGGTTGGGGCTTTGGGAGGGCTGAGCTGTCACTGGTTGGACTGTTGCTTTCTGATAGGACTATAAGGTGGGGTCTGGTTACAAGCCAATGAGAGGAGGAGGAAGAAGGATAGGGAGAGAGGAGGAGGTAGGAGGAAAGAGGAGAAGGAGGAAGGAAGAACTAGGAGACAGTCATTATTCCATTGGCATTGCATTGGCAAGGTCACTGGGTAAGGGGAAGAGGAGAGAGACAACTCAAGCTGGAGAGAACAGGGCATTCCCACTCAGCCCCCCAAATCTAGCCTGTGGTCCCCAGAAACCCCTCTTTTTCCACCTAAGAGAACCTGGAAAAGCCCTCCACAAGCCATCTTGTACAGGTCCCTGCCTCCAGGCCAACCCACCCCTAACTATCCAGGGAAGGACATTTCAGTCTCCTTTGGCCTCTAGCTCTGGACATTTCCCTCCTTTGCTGTTTGCATCCTGGGTGACAGGTTCCCAATGGCAGGGGAGGGACACCAGGAGTGGGTTCCTTTGGTAGTCACAGGTGAACCACCCCCCTCTTACATTGTATCAAATTCTCTGTGCTGTATATATATTCCTGTGGGTGAGTTCTGTCTTCCCAGACAGATTGAGAACTCTCTAAGTATGGAGTTTGTGACTTTTCCTTCTCTCTCTTCCCCACCATGTAATTAAGCACACATCTGGGCACATGGGGAGATCAGGCAAGTCTTGGTGACCAAAAAAACAGGAGGGGGACACCAGGTGTTACTTCAGCACCATGGGCAGTGTCAGCAGAGAGGTGAACTGGAGTCTGGTTTGTGGATATTGGAAACGAAGGAGCCTCAGCCAGGACCCCCTTTCTCTCTCCAAGAAGAGATCAAGCATTTTGATCTTCAGATTGAGGCTAGGCTCTGGGTGCTGGGAGGGGGAGCAAGGAAGACAGATGGGCTTGGTCCTGGGACTTGTTCCTCTGCTCCCTACATTCCCCTAGCTGTCTCTGTTTCTTAGCAGCATTCTTATGGTGTATGTTTGGTTGGAGGGAAGAGAAATTTTCTTCCCAATCTCTTCTCTTTCTCCCTTTGTATTTCTGTCACCCCCATCCCTATATCACCCTCATGAAGCGTGGAAAGATGTATCTAATACCTGGAATCATTGAAAGGAAAGGAGAAAGATCCCTGCCCTTATCACTCTCTTCTAGAGGTAGTGATTCCTTTCTCCTCAGCCCACCTTCTGGGCTGGACTGTCCCCATCTTTGGGATTCTTGAGTCCAATACACTTGTATCTCTGACCCTCAATCTCGCGGAAGCTTAGAGGATGGCAACGTTAACCTAGATCAGCCCAGATCAGCCCAGACCAGCCTAGCCCTGTTCCCTAGATGTTGAGTTGGCTTGGAGGGAAAAAGAAGAGGAAGGGAAACAAGGATTTAGGAGATGGGATGGGGAGCGGAGAAGTGGGAATGGGGGCCTAACACAGAAAGAGTAGAGAAGAAGGAGATGTGTGGGATATCAGCTCAGAAGGACCCTGTTGAGAGGGCCAGGGGATATGGGCTCTGAAATGAGGCTCCCTTCAGAAAGGGTCCTGCCCAAGCTGGCTAGAGCTGGGAGGGATCAGAGGGAAGAAGGAACAGAACTGGAGGTGGAAGTAGAGAGAGGTTAGTTTGGCCTCGGGCAGGGCTTGGTGATGGGGCAAGCAGGGGTGTGGGGCAGTAAGGGGGACGGTGGGGTGGTTAGGGGAAGGGAAGGTTGGGAAAGGGGTGAAGGGTTGAGTGTGCTCGTTCTGAATATACTTGCCCTTCAGTTTGCTGATTGACACTGTGAGAATCCACCATAGAGAGAAAGCAAGGAAAACAAAAACAAACACAAACACAAACAAAAAAAAAAACAAAACAAAAAGGGGGTTGGGTGGAAAGGGGAAGGGGCACAAACAATATTTTATTCAATGGCCATTTGAATGAAAATATTGTGTATCATAATCATACTCAAAGGAAACCTCGCAAAAAACGACATGAGAGAGAAAGAGAGAGAAAAAACTCAAAAGGAGGAAAGTCCCCAAGCCCCCCAGGAGGCAAGCCCCACCAATGGGGGCTGGGGGCGGGTGCACTGGAGGCCCAGAGCCCCAGCCATCCCCTCCCAGTCACCCCAGGGGCAGCAGCACATGAGGCAGTGGGCAGGGGTGCAGCACAGGCTCAGGAGGGAAAGCTTGTCACCCCCATGTGAGAAGAAGGGAGGCAGGCACTGGATCTGTGGGGTGGGAACATGCAGAGGAAGCCAACAACAAGCATAGGGGAGGGTGAGGGAAGAGATGTGGAGAGAAAGTGAGTGAGGGGAGGGGGGAAAGGGTGGGAAGAGGGAGAGGAGGGGTTGGGGGGCCAGAGAGCAGAGAGAGGGAGAGGGTGAAAGTGAGGGACAGCAGGAGAAGCAAGGAAGAGGACCAATATGTGTGCAGGAAGAGTAAAGAGAATGGAGACTGGAGAGAGGGAGACAGGGAGAAGGGGGGATGGAGGGAAAGGAGGAGAAAGAAAACTAGGGAGAGGCAGAATGAGAGGGAGAGAGGAGGAGAAAGTAAGGAAGGGAAGTCAGGCAGAAAAACAGGGGACAGAGGGAAAGAAAGAGAAAGAAGACTAGGGAGAGGTAGAATGAGAGGGAGAGAGGAGGAGAAAGTAAGGAAGGGAAGTCAGGCAGAAAAATGGGGGACGGAGGGAAAGAAAGAGGAAGAAAACTAGGGATAGAGAGAATGAGAGGGAGAGAGGAGGAAAAAGTAAGGAAGAAAGGTCAGGCAGGGAAAATGAGGGGGAAAGAGAGGGAGAGGATCAAGAAAAGGGAGAGAAGGTAAGAGGAAGAAAGAGAAAACTCTAGGAGGAGGTGTTAGTGAAAGGAGAAAACATGGGAGGAATGGGAAAGAGGTAGATGGGGAAAGAGGGAAGGAGGGAGAAAGTAAAGTTGGGAGGAGAAAGTACGGGAGAAAGTGAGGAAGAGAAAGGGGGAGTGAGAGGGGGAAAGAAGGGTTGGAAAAGACCCAGAAGGGATCAGGAGAAAGAATAAAAGCTATAATGGCTAACGTTTATATAGCGCTTACATGTCCCAGACACTGTATTAAGTGCTTTACAAATACGATCTTTTTTGATATTATCCTTACAACAACCCTGGGATGTAGGTGCTATTATTATTCCCATTTTGCAGATGGGGAAACTGAGGCAAATAGAGGTTAAGTGATTTGTTCAGGATCACATAGCAGTAAGTGTCTGAGACTGGATTGGAACTCAGGTTTTACTGACTCCAGGCCCAGTCCTCCCCCTAGAAAGGGAGCAAATAGAGACAAACCAGCTCTCCTCCCCCATGGGTCTCTGGGTGGAAAGTTAAGAGACAGAGAAAGTTAAGAAAACAGAGTATGTAGGGAGGGGGTGTGTGGTGGCAGGCCGACACGGAAGTACATGGAATGAGAAGAACCAAACTAGAAACCATAAAAAGAATGGTCTGAAACTTAAAATCAGAGAAGAAGAGAATCATGCAACTTTGGGCCGACTTTCCAATGAGCTGGCTGCTCCCAGCCCCTGGCCCTGCCAGGCGTCCTGGAGTGAAGGGCAGGCAGGGGGCCTCCCTCCCTGGTGCTCCCCTCCCTCCTCTCCCCTGAATCCCCGCTCCACTCTGCAAACACTCCTTTTGGCCTGCTGTTGGCTGGGATGTCCCCGGTTTTTCCTTGGGCTGAGCAGTGTGAGTTTATGGTGCCTGCTGCTCAGATTGGGCAGGGGCGGAGGGGCCAGGGGCAGTGGGGGCAAGGAGTGGGAGGGGCAGCAGGCACAGGTGGAAGGGCTACTTACACTTGACCTGCAGGATCTGGTCACTGAGGTTGGCTTGTAGATAGAACGTGCTATAAGGAGGCAAGACCAGCCCAAGGCTGGGGGAGACAGAGAAAAGAGGGGAGAGTCACTCACAGGAGAAAGTCCCAAGAGACCCTGTACTACTCTGTCGTCCCCTATCTGGGCACTGCCTTGAGGAAGGGGCTCTGGGCTGGGCCAGGATATCTAATCCAGTTGGTAGCTCCTCACCCTTCTCTGAAATACCTCTTCCCTGGATGGCATCTGGTCCTTCTTTCTGAGGCCCACGGCCCACCTGGGGATAGGCCAGCTGCAGCCCTAGAAATCCCTGGGAACTGGCCCAGGCTCATGCCCACCTCCAACTCAGCCCTAGATTCTGGGATTCTCTTTTCCCATCGGTGGCCTTGCAACCCTCTGGAGCACTGCCTCTAATGAGTGATTGGCCCATTGAGACTCCAGGCCTCCTCCCTTGGGTCTTGAAGCAAGGTGGGAGGGAGGCTCCCCCCCTTCTAGCCTGCTCTGGCAGGAAACTTGCAGCAGACTTTGAGAAGACACTTCAAGCCATCTGCTGGTGCCTTTTCCATCTGTGTAGCTGCACATTCACCAGAAAAGCAGAACGAACACTTGTCAGGGAACTAGGTGATCACAGGTGTGATGTTGGAGGTGGGAGAGATAATATTGCTTGACAATTGTTGGACCGTCACAACAACCTGCCATTTGGGGTGTCAGACCTGTGTGACATGACAGCACAGTCTGATACTGCAAGTGTGTGTGTGTGTGTGGGGGGGTGACTGTCTGGGCTGCTGCTCAGGGTGGGATAGTGCAGGCTCATAGGCTGGCTGGGTTTGGCTGAGTGGAAGTGATTTCTAGGGTACAATAATGTGGTTTATATTTGGGGTATAGTGACAGAGCCTGTGGGTTAGGTTGTTGGTTGCTGGGATGGGACAAGAATAAATACTTAAAGGTTTGTAGATTGCCTTCTTTTATCACAACAAGGCAGGCAGTATGAGAATGAATTATCCCAATTTTATAAAGAGTAGTTAAGTGACTTGCCCAGACTCCTTAAGTTCAGTGCTCTTCTCCTATGGCACATTGCCTCTCAACAATAGTAGGTGGCTAGGCGGTATTGGGTGGTATGATCCGATATCTGGGATGGGATAATATGGCTTGGTGTTTAGGTGGAAAAAGGCGGCTTGGGATGTGGGGTGGGTTGATGCAGCCTGATATCATGGGTGTGACACACAGCCAGCAGATCCTTATTATGTGATGATGTAGTCTTCTATATGGGGTGTGTTACACACCTAAGATAATACAGCTTGATATCTGAGGTGTGGTCACAGTAGATATGTGATAATATGGTCTGAAATGGGGATATGGAAATAGTCTGATATCTGGTTGACAGCTAGTATTAAGGGTGTGATGGAGATGGTTTGAGGTATGGGATATGAAAATATAGTGTGTGAAAACAAAGTCCATGGGGCTGCCTGTCATTCAGCACAGCTCACAGAAGCCAAGCCTCCCCTGCCTGCCAGCTCAGCCTTGCTTGGCCCATTTCCATTCATCCCAGGGACTGGATGTCAGGCAGAGGCCAAAAATTTCTCTCTGGATCAAGTTAGGTATTTTGTGTGTGTGTGTGTGTGTGTGTGTGTTGTGTGTGTGTGTGTGTGTGTGTGTGTGTGTTTTCAAGGGTGGGGTAGACTTCTCGGCCTGAGGTAAGAAATGTTCTCAGGGGGATAGGAGCTTTGTGAAAGCTGTGGATAGTGGGAGGGTGGGAGGAGATGAAGACTGGTCAAACCCAGCTGGAAGGATCGCCAACCACAGGGAACTGAAGAGGTTGGAGGAGGAACCCAGCTCCTCTCCTACGATCCCAGACTCTAGGGCTGGAAGGTATCTCTTCACACATATCCCATCCCTACCTGTCTCCTGAATCCCACCTTTGGGGCTCTCCTCACCTGTAGTTGGTACTTTTGATCGGGACCCAGGTATAGTTTCGAATTACTTCATCAATGTATCTCTGGAAGGGAAGAGCTTGTGGTCAAGGGTACAGGCAGGCAGGTAGGCAAATGAAGCCTTTTCTCCTTCCCCCACCCCGTATTTCTTCTCCCCTTTCCTGCCACCCCTGCCCCATCATCTCTCCTTCCTCCCATCACTCCCATTCTTCCCCTGCCCCATCATCCTTTCTTCCCCTCATCACCCCCTTCCTCCTCTGCCCCATCATCCCTCCTTCCCCCATCACTCCCTTTCCTCCCCTGCCCCATCATCCCTTCTTCCCTCCCAATATCACCTCATCCAGGGATTTGATGAGAGTCTTGATTTGTTTCTGCCCCCTTTTCCCATCAATCATGCTCTTTCGGATCTAAGGAGTACAGATAGCAGAGTGTGAGAACAAAGCAAAGGGTATGGGTGATTGGGCAGACCAAGATTGCTGAGGAGAGTAGATTGGAGGACAAGAGGCTGTTTGCAGTGTGGGGGACTGGGTAGGACAGAGGATTGGGAGAAATGGGAAGAAGGCCAGAGAAATCAAGGGACAGGAAAATAGTGGGATGTTACATAGGAAGAGTAGAGAGATGGGGAATTGGGAAGCTCAATTTGACTGGAGGATGGAGAGAGGAGGTTGGTGATAAGTGGGATGAGGGGGCAGAGAATTGGCATGCAAGGGACTATTAGAGAAAGAATGGGGGGGAAAGAGGAAAAGGACAGCTGGAGCTTTGGGGGATAAGAATTGGGAAGAAAGGAAGGTGGGACAGGAAAAGAAAAGGAAAATGAGAGAAGTATTAAGAAAAGAGGCAACTGGGAGGCAGGTGCTGAGGGACAGTGGAGACTGGTAGGTGCTCTGAGGCCCGCTGATGGTCCTTTTCTCACCTCCTCCTTGTTTTCATCTTCTAGTTCAGCATCTAGGAAATCTAAGGTCACTGGCTCCCGGAAATTGGTGATCTGAGGGAGAGGGTCACAACTCGGTAAGAATATCATGCCTCTCCTATTGTCTCAAGCATGCCTTCACCCCTGGATAGCTAAAGAGGTCTTTCTTTGCCAGGATCTGGGTATCACCCTTTCCCTAACATAGGGATGATAGGGGGGTAGAAGGTTCTTTCTTACCTGGGGCTTCAGGTTAGGGTGGAGGAGGACATAGCCATTGAGGTCAATGGAGAATACATAACCATTTGCACCAAGCTAGAAATGGAAATTGGAGGATCATGTTTTGGCCCTTGGCTCAAGGAAGGTGGTAGAAGAAGGAAAGAGAACATGGGGCTAGAACATGTCCTCTAGTCCAACTTGAGGTCCGATCCACTCACCGTGTAATTTGGCGTCAGCTTCTTGATATCATTCAGAGCCACATCGATGCCCATCACACCCAGGATTAGCTGGTTCTGGGGGCACAGATTTGCCAGGGTAAGAGGCCATGAATAGGAGCAGGGAGCTGAAGCTGTGGGCATTCAGTCCACTTCTGTCTATCCCGTGATGCTTGGGAGTTAGGACACTTGGGCCTCATGTCTGGCTTTCTGTAATTCACCCCCACCCACACCCATACTCATCCAGAACTTACCTCTTTCCCATCCCGAGTCCCAGACAACCCTATCCACAGGCATAGAACGCTGGGGCCGACTTCAGCCTCCACACTTACCCACAGTGGCCCCTCCAACAGTCCCGAACATCTTCACTCTCCAGGTACAGACATTCTCTTCCCTCCTCATCTCAGTTACACAGGCAGCTATCCATTCTATCTCTCTGCCCACACCACCACCTATTCTGCTTTCCCTACAGTCAGGCATGCATACCTATATATTACATACATCCCACTCCACCCAAACACATAGTGCATGTATTTTCCTTGCTCTCACATGCTTACACAAGCTCACACACATACATGCATCTGCACACTTGCCTTCCTCTCCCCACTGCCATCCTGGGTCAGGTTGAACACAGGGAGGGTTCCAGTCACTACTAGCCCCAGGCCCTGTGAAATGGGACAGGATAATATGGCATTTTGTGATCTTGCAATCTCAATGCCTACTCCCTCCTGGGGAGCAGGCCTTGTCTGCCTACAGTCCTCCTCTCTCTCTGCTCAGGGCAGGGAAAGAGTTCTGGGGCCTTAGTACAGCTGAGCCCCATCACCCCCTCCTCCCAGAGTACTCCCAAGGTCTCTGCTTCCTTGCCATCAAAGACCATGTCCCTAGGGGGTTGGCCCAGCCCTGATGAGGTGACAGGCATGGTGTGAGGCAAGCTTACCAGAGCATCTTCATACACATTGGTCCACTGCACCTGCTTGGCCTCATTGCCTGCGAGGACCATAGGCCTGCCCAGAACATCCAGGTACTCCTGTGAGGGAGGGGCAACATGAGGGTGGGAGGAATCATAGGACTTAGAACTGGGAAGGATTCTAGACACCTTAATTTTATAGGTGGGGAAACTGAGGCTCAAAGGGACGCGTGACTTGCCCAAGGTTATGAGGCAAAAAGCAGCAGACTTGGTGTTCAGATCAACTTACAATTCAGTTCTCCCTCCACTACATGTGCTTGGGCTGTCTGCTTTGATAGCAGGACTTTCCTCACCCCACAGAGGAGCTGCGGTCTGGTTATTCACATCCAGGCTCTTGTCCATCTGTCTCCCTCTGAACAGGCAGGGGTCCCCAGCTACTGATTCTTGGGTAGAATGACCCACTCCAAGGAAAAGGATGGCTAGATCTGGGCACTTTCTCATAGTGACCAGCAGAGGGCACTCCCACCCCACGGTAAGTGGTTGGGTTAAATCTGCTGAGCCTGACTGAGACCTAGACCCCAAGGAAGGATTATCGACCTAAGACCAATGTGGGAGAGCTCAAGGAAGCTGAAGTGGGGGTCTTTTGAAGAACTGGGTTCTAGGAGAGGAGGGAGCCTGGGCGCCTAGATCCCATTGGGAGGGCTGTTGGGTTCTGGGATGGGTCTCTTTCCAGGTCTTTGCTTCTCTTGGAGTTGTTTGGCTTTGCTCCAGAGACAGGATGTGTGTATGTCTTGGGGATGAGGTTGAGGGCTTGAGGCTACAGTGAGCTTACCTGTGTGTTGATTCGGATAGCCCCGATGGAGGGGATCTCAAAATAGTAACCTGTCAGGGCGAAGGGAAGTACGCTTTGAGTTGGGGTAAGGAAGAGCATGTTTCCTGATTTTTGTCGAGGGTCATGCGAAGGGCAGGTGAGTAGCCGGGGTGGGGTGTTTGTGCTGAAGGTGCTCTCTGGGGACTGAACCTACTGTGAGTGGGGAGGAAGGGGCAGTTTGGGTGGGGGTGGAGCATGCCTCAAGGATAGACCCCTCTCTGACTATAGATAGACCCCTGTAACCATAAGCAGCTATACCCCTCAGCTCCAGCTATGGATGAGACACAGCTGGGTCATACAGATAGGCAAACGGACACATGGACAGAAATATAGAGAAAGAGTGCCTTCCCGCACCCATATTGATCCTCCCCCCCCCCACTTTTGTTGCAGGGCACAACAAGGAACAATTGTGGGCTCATTAGAACATTTAGGATTTGAAAAGCCCTTAAAAATGATCCAGCGCCATCCTCTCACTTTACGGCTGAGGATGCTAAGACCCAGGAAAGGGCAAGGACTTGCCCAGGATCATACAGTAAGTAGCAGGTGTCTTTCCCAATAGCCCATGCTGCTGTACTGTGGGTCAGGTCAAGGCAGGACAAGGAGGGTACCTTTATTGGCACAGGCCATCCACTGCAGGGGAGTGACATCATAGTTGTGTTGTCCAACAGAAAAGGTGAATACCCGAACCTGGGGACAAAGTGGGGAGGTGTGAGGGAGTCTGACTCACTCATAGCTTGGTCAGGATTGAGACTCCTCCTAAGTGGGGTGTAGGGAAGGCCAGCGGGAATGATTTCCCCCCTATGCATACATATACATACTGTGTACACGTATGTATGCATATTCACACCCATGCCCAAAGCTGTAGGACAAGAGACTAGGTCAGAGGAGCTTGGAGGGAGGTCATTCAGGTGCTCTGAATTCCGTGGGCTCTTGGTAAATGGTAGTTGAATAGAATTGACCCTGGCCAGCTCAGCTGCCACGCCCCCCACTCCTCACCCTTAAGAGAGTGAGTGGGTGTGGTCCCCAGCGTCCCTGACTGGGGACTTCTGCGGGCCTCACCGTCCTGTTGGGCCAGTTGTACTTCTCAAACACATCCTGCACTCGATCTTCTCCTCCATCGGTGAACATCATGATGATTTTGTTGCAGTTAGCTCGGGTGATGTTGGACTGGGCCAGCCAGTGGGAAGGAGAGGAGGTCAGTTGGGGGAGGCTCCCTCATAGCTCCAGACAGACTCCCCTTCAGTCCTCCCCTACCCTCTCTTAGATACAACCCACAGGATGCTTTGGCAAGGGATTCCTCAGTATGAGAATCTTTCCCTTCCCCTGGAAGAATGATTTCAAGGACTGAGACACCTAAGGGCCACCCTGTCCCAACAGGCTATGCTGGGGGAGGGGATGGGTGCAGAGAGTATCATTCTACTACCACCTTTGAACTATAAATTACTCCCACCTTAATTTTTCCATCAAAATGAAACTTCTTCCACTGAAATCATCCACAAATGTCCTGGTCACATTATTACTCCTACTACAATGAGCCACCAACTATGCCACTACCAGTAAAATGAGCCCCAGGCACCCCTTGTCTGTTTTTTTCCTTCTGAACTCTGCCAGGATCAGCAATGAGATTTTCCTCCATCGCTTGGGTTACAAGTCTAGTTCTCAGACTCCAGTATCTCCCTGTCTCCCTAAATCTTCCCATCTTAAATTAACTCCTTGGGGGATGGACAGGGAACTGGCATCATGGCCTGAACTCCTTCTCACCTCTCATTTCCCTGAGGGAAGTGTCTAACCAGCTATTTACTGGGAGGAGAGATCTGGTTTCTGCCAGGTAGGGCTGGTAAGAAAGGGGCTATAGATATGGGAACATTTCTCCTTGTCCTAACCTTTGAGCCATAACCATTGGTGCTCATCCTTATAATAGGCCCATCCATTTTGATTTCCCTGGTGTCACCCCAGAAGCAATGTTCCACACTCTTCCCTCACAGTAGCAGGGGTGTGAGTCCTAGGAATGGCCCTCTCACAGACAGAGAAAGGGCTCTGGGGAAGGGGTGTCAATGACATCTTCCTTACTGCTTTCTTAGACTCTGCAGACTCAGCTCCCTCCCTCCTCTGCTCTTCCCACCCATCCCCAAACTCCCAACCCCAGGCAGTCAGCATGGCAGGTGTGGGTGTGCTCTGGTGAGGGACTGAGGCTAGGATGGAGATGTTAGTTGTGGGTAGAATCTTCTCTTCCCCCTGAGCTAAGTGGGACTCACATTCTGGAGCTGGTCAAAGGCATATTCAAAGCCAGCCTTGTAACCTGTGGTTCCTTTGGCCACCATGTTCTGCACAGCTTCCTTAAAAACCTTTTTGTTCCGTACGTTGGCCTGAACCAGGTGGTTGAAGCAGGACACAGGCTGGGCCTTCTCATTGAACTGGGGGAGCAGTGAGAGCAAGATGAGGTTATCTGCAGGTCACTGCGGAGGGAGAGCCCTCTGGAAGGGGCAGAGTTAGGAGAGGCCTGTAGGAAAGCTTAGGATTGAGAAGAGGTTGAGAAGGCTGGAGGGTCAAGGGAGAGTTGGGTAGTTTTTCCATGAGAACATCTGAGTGGGAGTGGGGTTAGTAGGAAGGAGAATTAAGGGAAGTTGGTAGGAGAGTGTTCCTCCTTCCCTTTATTTGCCCCTAAAACCTTGCTCTTCCCAAGCATGTGTATTCATTTATCCCAAATCCCTTCTCTCCCCTCCTGGCTGCTATAATTAGTACCACAGAGGACAACCCCTCCCCAAACCCCAAACATACCCGAAAACAAAAAAAACCCCAAGGACATCTTCACTACTTAGATTTTTAGGGTAGGAAGGAGTCTTTGAGGCTCTTGGAGCCCTTTGGCCAAAGGTGTTCTGTGTGATGTGTAGGTATCATGGAGGAACCAGTGATTGCCTGGTTTTAAGGGCCATGACTAGTTCCTTCTCTATGGCAGGCTTTGATTCAATGAACTGACCCTCACTCTGACCCTGCCAAAGGGGCCTGCCTTTGGAGGATTCTCTCTCTACCCAGTAATGGGTCCCCATTCCCAGGTTCAGGGCACTGACCGAGGCCACATTGACGTAGTCATCATCAGAGAGGGTGTCCAGCATCTCGCAGACCGATGTCTTCATCAGCCTCAGTGTCAGGCCACTCACACTGCCACTTCTAGGGGGCAAGGTATAAACATGACCCAGGGCATTCTTCCCCCTTATCCCATTTTAGGGTTAGGCATCAGCTTCCAGGCATTCACTGGAGTCAGGGATTTTGGACAAGGATGTGGGGACCTTGGGACTTAGGGAAGATCCCTAGAATGGCATTGATAGAATTGAGGGGGGACCAGTAACTCAGTGGTCTACAGGACCCTAATGCCAGAGGGGCCCATGAGTTCTGGCTCTTCCCCAGAGGCTGGAGGTGCCCTAGCTCCTGGGCAGGACCATTCCCTTACTGCTCACTCACACATCCACGATGATGACCATGTCCTTAGGAGAGGAAGCTCCTTGGATGTACCTGCCCAGGAGAGAGGCTGAGGTCAGGGCAGAGAGTCAGGGGATGTCTGGGTAGGGTTGGAAGAGGAATTATGGGCAGATTTGGGACAGGATGATAGGAAGGAGATTCCAAAGGCTCTAGGCATCCCCTTTGCTTACCTACTCAGCTCTCTGCCTTACTTCAGCCTGCAGTCTGGACTTAGAGCACCTACCTGGATCGAACAGTATCTTTCAGAAAAACAGGGGGGCTTCTTCTGTCTCTGAAACCTTAGATTTATGCCTGTTACCCTGCAGGACTTCTCCACTCTCTCTAATCCAAGCTCATCTTTCCCAGTGAGCCTATTCCTTCTTCTGACTTTACTCTCTGCCACCATTCACCAAGTCTCCCACATTCAAAATCTTTGAGTTATCTTTGCCTTTCCCTTCTCTCTCCCCTCTTGTGGCTAATTAGCTGCCAGTTTCTCCTAATTCTGCTTCCACCACATCTTGTGTTGCTTCTGTCCTCTCTACTCCTATTGGCACCATGATGGTTCAAATGGTCCTTATTACTGGGACTACTACCCCCTAGAAGGTCTGCCTGCTTCTTCTCTCCAATTCATCCTTCATATCTCTGCCAGAATAATCTTTCTTACACGGAGATTTGATAGATCTATGAATAAAAAGATCTCTGTTCTTTTCAGCTGTATCTCATATCATACCCTTCAACATACTAGACAGGAGGGGCTCCTAATCTGAGGTCCATGAACTTTTAAAAAACATTTTGAAAACTGTATTGCATTTCCTTGTAATTGGTTTCCTTTGTAATTCTATATATTTTATGCATTAAAAACATTGTTTTGAGAAGGGGTCCATAGGCTTCACTAGACTGCCCAAGGGTCAGAACCCTGGCTCTATGCTCAGGCTAAACCTTCTCCATGCCAAACCTTCTCCATGCCCTCCTGGAGCTGCAGGGTCCTCTTTGTGCCTCTTTGCCTGGGATGTTACCTCTGCTTCCCTTTCACCTTCTGTTGAATTCCTAACTATTAAAGACCACCTCAAATACTACTACCTCCAGGAAGCCCTTCTTGATTCCCAATGGCAGTAATGGCCTCAAATATCATGTAGCACTTGGTTTGTGCTTCTCTGATGTACTTATCATATAACATGGTGCATCACTGTAGTTCTTTCTTATCACTTTTTAAGACCAGAGCTCCATAGCAGAGAGATGTCTTTTCCAAACTTTAGATCTCACTCAGCTTTCAGTGTAATACTTTGTACATAGTAGGTGCTTAATAAATGTTTGTTGAATTGAACTGAATTGAAGATGCAGTCAGTGAGGGCAGGAGAGCCTGAAAAGGGGATAGGGAGAGATGACCAGAGACAAATTTAAAGGAATCATAGGATAGTGTTGGGAGAAAGGAGAAGAAGAAGGAGGAGGAGGAGGAAGAGGAGGAGGAGAAGAAGAAGAAAGCAATAAAGAGGCAGAGAGGGAGAGATGGAGAGAAAGAGAGAGAGAGAGAGAGAGAGAGAGAGAGAGAGAGAGAGAGAGAGAGAGAGAGAGAGAGAGAGAGAGAGAGAATGGACCAGATTTCAGGCTCTCTGTGGCAGCATGGATTTCATAGGTCTCAGGAGGTCAGAGGATGTCTATAAATTCAGACTCTGGATGTTGATCCAGCTTGATCTTTATATGGCCCCCAATTATTATAACAGTTTGACATTTCTATCAATGACTTGGATGAAGGCATAGATGGAATGCTTATGAAATTTGCAGATGACAAAAAGGTAGGGGAAAGAGCTAAATAATGAATGGGTAATAGGATCTAGATCCAGAAAGATCTCATCATGCTAGAACAATGGGATAAATTAAACAGGATAAACATTTAATAGAAATAAATGTAAAGTTCTACAGAAGTTCAAAAAATCAATCAAATATTGGGTGGGGGAAGTGTGGCTAGGTAACTTATTATTCTTGTGAAAAATGACTTTTTAAAGTTTAAGTTATCAGTGTCACATGGTAACCAACAAGCTGCAGAGACCTTCCACGGCAGTAAGAGGCTGCTCAGACCACATCTAGAACACCAGACTTGGTGCTGGGGAGCATGTTTCAGGAAACACACATGTAAGTTGGAGTATATCCAGAGGAGAACAATGAAGAGTATGAGGAATGAAGAGGGTTAATTGAAGGCACTGGGAATATGCATTTAGCCTCAGTGTATGAGTGGGAGGCATTGATCTTGTCAAATATTTAAAGGGCTTTTATTTGGAGGAGAATGGACTTGTTGCTTGGTCTCAGCATTAGTATTAGTTCACAGCATAGTATACTTACTACCATTTCATAGATAAGGAAACTGAGGCTTAGAGAGGGTGATTTGCCCAAGGTCACAGAACTTCAAAATAGCAGAGTTGGGACTTTGAATTCAAGACCTCTCTACCATATCACAGCTACTGGCCCAAGGCCATGCATTGATAACTCTTTCTTCCCTCAGTCTGCCTCATGAAAGATCCCCAGTACCTCAGAACTCTGCTCTTTGGGTCCCTTAAGGCTCAAGGGACACTGGATTCCATCCCCATTCTCCTCCAGCCAATTCCTTTCCCTCGGGGAGAAATGAGCTTTATGACCCTCTCAAATTTCATTAGAGATACAGACACTGGTCACTCCACTCCTCCAATACCTCGAGGGTAGGGACTATTTTTACCCCTTTATAGCTTCCAGTGCCTAGCACAATATAATAGCTAATGTTAATATAGCATTTTCAAGTTTGCAAAGCCTTTTCCATATATCATCTCATTCAGTCTTCACAACAACTCTATGAAGTAGGTGTTATTATAGTCCCCATTTTACAGATGTGGGCATTGAGGCCCAGGAAAGTTAGGGGATTTGCCCAGGGTCACACAGCTGGTGAATGAGGCAGATGCAAACAAAGGTTTTTCCTATTCCAACTGTTTTATAGTGGGAATGGATAAGTGTTTGTTGAATTGAATCTAATTAGTATCTTTTCCCATCGCCATCCCAGAAGTAAGGCTTTGCTGGAGAGAAGACTAGGATGAACCTTCTGGAGAACCGTGTGTATGCGTGTGTGTGTGTGTGTGTGTGTGTGTGTGTGTAGGGGCAGGAGGGTGGAGCTGCAGCTAGCCCTCAACCCTCCATCCTAAGTTCAGTTTTTCCTGTTAGGAATGGATGAGTTAAGAAATTCATTCGACTGAGCATACTCTTTGCCCCGGTGAAACCACTACTTGGTCTAGATCCCAGAGAGAAAGAGATCAAAGGATGAGAAAAAGGACTCATATACAAAAATATCTAAGCAGGTTTTCTTTTTGTGGTGGCAAAGAACTAGACACCAGGGAAGGGCCAGTTAATTTGGGAATGGTTGAATTAATTTATGGCACAGAAATGTAATGGGATATTGTAAATACTGTAGGAAATGACGAGAGGGAGAGATTTGTATGAACTGATGCAGAGTGAAGTGAGCGTAGCTAGCAGAACAATTTATAATAACAATAGTGTTGTAAAGGCAAATGACTTTGAAAGACAGAAGAACTCTGATTGGTGCAATGACAAACCATGGTCCCCAAGCTTCGATGGCGAAGCAGGCTTCCTGCCTCCAGACAAAGGTGATGGGCCAAGGATATAGAAATATACATACATACATATATATATAAAGGTAGGAAATGGCCAATGTGGGAATTTGTTTTAGCTTGATTATGCATATTTGTTACAAAGGTTTTGTTTGTGTGTTTTTATCCACATGGGTGGGAGATAATAGAAAGAGAATACTGTAGATTTTTGTTAATTAGAAAAATAAAATAAAAATTTAAAAAAGGGTAAAGGGAAAAAAGTTACTATCCTGTACATATGCTTTGACTTACTAATACCACTAGTAGGCCTAAATCCTGAAGAGATCAATGACAGAGGAAAAGGACAAAAAATACTTATAGCTGCTCTTTTTGAGGTGGCAAATAAATGGAAACTGAGGAGGTACACATTAAGTGGGGAATAGCTGAACAAATTATGGTATGCAAATGTAATGGAAAACTATTGTGCTGTAGGAAATGATCTAAGGATCAGTTTCAGAGAAACCTGGAAAGTCTTGTTTGTATGAGCTGACTCAGGGTGAAGTGAGCAGAACCAGGAATGAATTTATACAATAATAACAACATTGTTGAGACAAATAACTTTGACTTAAGGATGATTTCAGAGGACTGATGTTGAAGGCAGCTGCCCACCTCCTGACAGAGAGGGAATGGACTTAGGATACAAAAGGAGATACATATTTTTGATTATGGCCAATGTGAGAATGTGGTTTTACTTGATTATGCTTTTTTTTAAAAAGGATTTTATCTTTTCTTTTTTCAGTGGAGGAGGAGATGGTGAGGAGAGGGAAAATGCTTATTAATTGAAACAAAATAAAATGAAATGTCGAAATGAAGAGAACGTACAGACAGATAATGGGAAATAGACAAGAGTGATCAAATTGCTTAGCCCTTGGGTCTCAATTAACCAACAGATCAAAGACATCAAGGGAGAGTGGGTGTCTTTGTATAAGGGAGAACAGCGAGAAAACCACCTCACCCTCTTAGCCCAGCATATAAGGCCTTCCTCCATCTGGCCCAGCCCTACCTTTAACCTGACCTATCAGGACTCTGCTGGCCATACCTTTTTCTTCTTCATCCAGGTAGGCCTCCTCACTGTCCCTTGCATATGCCATACTCATATGGGGGAAGCAGCATGGTATAGAGCAAAGATCACCAAAACTGGAGTGAGAGACTGGAGTTTAAGTCTCTCCTCTGATACTACTGAGAGACCTTGGGCAAGTCGCTTGTCTCTAAGCCTCAATTTCCTCATCTGTAGATGGGGATGGTAATGCATTATGTACTTCAAAGCACTCTACAAACCTTCAAGGCCTACAGGAATGGGAGCTATTATAGTCTCTACTTTCTAATCCTTCACTCAAGATGTTTCCCTTCCTTCTCTCTCATCTCTCCAATTCTTGAAATCCTTTTAACACCCAGTTCAAGTCTTGCCTCCTCCAGGAGCCAATCTCC